GCCGTGGTGTTCGACACCGCCACGAACGTCAGGGACCTGGCACGATCGAGCTCGGTCGTGGTGCAGCCTGTGATGGCCGTGCCGTACCCGATGCTGGGGTGCAGGGCGGTCTTCGCGAGCCTCCTCGTCGCGGGCTTCCTGCCTTTCGTCATCTTGACGATCTTCACCCTCCGAAGGCGCTGCTGGGCCTGCTGCATCCTTCCTGCTCGTACTTCACGTCCGAGCCGCTTGCCTCCACTGAAGTCGACGCCCAGGTTGCGCTCCTGCCTCGCCGCAGTGACGCCTGCCGTCCTCTGCAGCCTCCGCTCCAGCTCGTGCCTCGCCTCAGGGTAGTTGGAGAGGGCCCTGGACTTCTTGGTGGCGATGCGAAGGTCGGCCTTCCCCAGGAGCTCCTTGAGGCGCCGTGTCGCCGTCGCCACCTCATCCACCGTGCGCCGCAGGCCTCCGACACGCTTCAGGATGAGATCGTCCACCACCACCGACAGGGAGACGGTGGGCACCAGCGCTTGCAGCTTGTCGAGGGGCTCGATCAGCATCATCTTGAGCATGAGCGTGGCGAAGCCGTCGCCTGGCAGCACCGCCTGCTTGGTGGCGATGGGGTTGCTCAAGGCCTCTCCCAGCGCAAGCCACCTCGGAGATCTGTAGAGGCTGACCTGCAGCTTGAGCTGCCACAGCGGGAAGCCCGTTCGCACCGCCGCCTGGATGAGGCGCCCGTGCTGCACCTGCTCGTACGCCTTGAGCAGGTCGAGCAGCACCAGCGCTGACACCCGGCTAGAGGCGTCACCAGCCTCACGCCCCTTCGCCGAGGCCCACTCGCACTCTACCGCCTGCTGCCACACCGCCCTCTCGCAGCCCTTGCCTCTGGACGCCCAGAAGTAGGGGCGGTCGTTCCTGCGCTCCCAGGCGTCCGCCAGCGGCTTGCGCAGCCTCGCCTGGACCCTGGCCACCACGTGGATGATGGCCACAGGGCGAACGCCCCCGAGCCGCTTAGCCAAGAACACGATCTTGGTGTGCAGCTGCGGCCACTCCGCCATCTGCTCCACGGCCATCAGCAGGTCGATCAGAGCCTCTAGCCCCTCGCTGCTGAGCTCGAGGAGCTGCCTGGGCGTGATGGCCTCGAAGCCCGAGGCCGTGTCCTTCTTGAAGGAGCGGAGGCAGCGGCGCAGGTCCTCCACGGACGGCCGCGGAGGCCGTTCGCCCAGATCTGGGGGCCACTGCAGCTCGGCGTGGTCGCACTCGATCCTCCAGTGCTTGCCCCACTCGGCCTCGAGGAGTTCGATCTCCTTGCCGAGGCCTGCGGGGCCCGAGCTGCCACTGCAAGTGCTGCTCTGCCATCCTACTGGCACCCGAGTGACGGCGTGCAGCCCTGCTGCTCCTCCCTTGAGCTGCTTACCCACCCACTCGTCAAAGCGCTTGCCTCGCTCGGCAAGATCTCGTTGGGCTAGCTCGCTGGCATGCCGCTTGGCGAGGTCAGCCATGTGTGCCAGCGCGAACGGGTCCCACAGCGCCACCGCGCCGTACAGCAGGAAGCCGTGCCATCTGCCTGCCACTGCACCGCAGCTGGCCACACTGCCCTCAGCCTCCTCAACCTCATCCTCCTCCTGCAGCGTCCGAACCCGCTGCGGCACGCGAGCCGCGAGCGCAGGCAAGTACCCGAGCGCCTCCTGCCTGGCGCGTGGCGCGCCCACCTTGGAGGCGGCGCGCAGCGCGTTGGCCACCCTGGCCACCCACGCCGCCTCAGGGGTAAGCCTCGGCGACCTCGCCTGCTGCACCCCGCTCTTGACGACGACCTTGGTGGAGAAGCCTTCAGCTCTACCAGAATACCTGTCGCGCTCCTCCCCCAGCTGGTACACGTCGATCCACTCCTCCTCCGCGCACTGGAGGAAGGCGCCCAGGGCCATGCTGAGGCCCTCCTTGACCTTCTCCTCGTCGCATCCTCCTCCTGCTGGCACGCACTTCCCGCCAAGGAGGCGGTCGGCTGGCTCCTCCAGCCCTCTCCACGGGCTCCGCCGCGCCTCTGGTCTGGTCCTCAGGCGTGCTCCTCGCCTCCCGCTCCCGTGCTCCTCAGGCGTGCTCCCCAGGCGTGGCCCCTCAGTTTTAACCCTCGAGAGCCCTCGTGGGGTTGTTTTTTCTTGGGCCTGTGCCTCTCGTGGCTGCTTGGGCCCAGGCTCTCGCCGACGAGGCGTGCTCCTCGCCCCCCCACGAGGCCCAGCTTCCTCAGGCTCCCGCAGCAAGCCGCATCCTCGCACTGCCTCCTGCCACTGCTCGTCCAGCTGCCCGCAAAGCTGGCCAAGGCTGACCGCCGAAGCCGCGGTGGCCAGCGCAGGGGGCGGCGCGAGCACACTGCGGCAGCCTGCGAGGCGGCCCAGCCCCAAGGCGGCATCAGCACCAGCAGCCACCTCACCAGCACCAGCCTCCTCGCAGCAGCCTGCCGCGCTCCCTCCAGCAAGCCCCGCCGGTCGGACCTGTGGCTGGGGCTCCGGGTGGGACTGCGCATCCCGCGCGTCCACCTCTTCCACTCCAGGATGGCTGCCGCAATTTATCCCAGGCTGCGGCCAACTGGCAGACCCAGTGCATGTGCCTTGGGGGCCCGCTCCCAACGGGACTGGGCCCCCCAGGCTGCAGCCCGCGCCTGCCTCAACCTCCTCGTCCACGAAGTCCACCATCGGCCTGAGGAGCCTCCTCATCTCCTGCCGACTCCGCTTCCATCTGCCCACGTGGTCGTACTCGCAGCACCCCAAGGGCCTCAGGACAGGGAAGGGCTTCGGCGCCTGCGCCACGCGGAAGGGCGCACGGGGCCCCGTCGCGCCGACCTTGACAAGGACAGGGGAGTGCGGGTAGACGGGCGACGCAGGCACCACGCTGACCTCGCACGCCCTCAAGCCCTTGGACACCAGGAAGAAGTCGATGACCCTCCCCGACGATGCGCACGTAGGAGTCGAAGGACGAACCACCACCGCATCAAACATGGCGAGCATACCTCCGTCCCTCAGCTCCTCCTCCGTGAGGTTAAAATCACCACCAACCAGGTACTCCTTCTGGTACTGCTTGAGCCTCCTCGCCAGCAGCGTGAGCGCCTGCACGTTACTCGCGTTCAGGCCGACCCCCGCCTCGAGGTAGACGTTGCCGAGAAGCACACCGCCTCTCCTCACCCCTGCGACCCAGCAGACGTGAACTCTGCCTGGGACGACCACGGCACCCATCGGGTCGTCCACCTCCGCCATCCCATAGGCGGTCCGAACCATGGAGATCAGTCCTCCAGAGCTGAGCCCTCCTGCCGACGACGGGACGGCTGGCGTGCCGCGCGCCCGCCATCCCTGGGCTCGAAGCTGAGCCTCCACATCGCTGGTCCTTCCCTCCAGCAGCCTGGTCTCCTGGACGAGGACCGCGTCGCACTCCTTGACCTCCTGCACCGCCAGGCACGCATCCAGGTTGCAGAACGCGTTCACGTTGACCGTGCAGAACCGCCAGCAGGCACCCTGCCTGCTAGGAGTCTTGCGCACCAACCTCAGCCGCTGTGCGGAGCCGCTTGGCCTCCGACCCCGCCTGCTCCTCCCTGAGCACCTCGGCGAGCTTCCGCTTCTCGGGGTCCCCCATCTCCATGGCGAGCTCGCGCCCGGCCTGGTCCACCCCAGTCGCCCCATTGGCTCCTCCTGCCGCTGGCTCGCCCGCCGCGGCTGCAGGAGCGGGCGCCACGCTAGCGGCCGCAGCTGCAGGGGCATGAGCCGCATCACCAGCACCCACGTCCTCCTGCTGCCGCGGAAGCCCAGCAGCAGCCGCCTCAGGTGCCGCCTGGCTGGCGTGGCTGTCCAGAATCTCGCCCAGCGCCCCGCCAAGCTTGACCACCAGCTCAGGCGCCTCTGCCGCGTGGCTGGCGAGCTCCGCGGCAATCGCTGCCCGCAGCCCAGCCGACGCGGCCGTGGGGGCCGCCGCAGCTGGCGCCTTCGGCTTCGCCGTCTCCGCCTCGGACTGCTTCGCGGCTTGGGCTGCCACGGCCGCCTTGGCCTGCACCGTGGCCTCCTCCAGCTCGCGCCGCAGCTGCACCAGCTTTTCCCCCAGCTCCGCCATCTCAGCGACAGCGCGATGAGCCCGCGCCTTGGCCTGCTCCAGCTGGCCCTCCGCCTTCGTGACCTGCACGGACTTCTCGTCGGCCCGCAGCTGCGCCGCCTTGACCTCCTTGACCTTGGAGAGGTCGCCCAGCCCCTCCTGTGCCAACCTCCTGGCTTGGAGAATCCCGCGCTTGGTCTTGGCGTCCAGCAGCTGGGCGCTGACCTTGAAGGCGTCTTCAGGCAACTGCACCAGCTTGTGCCACAGCTCCTCGTTGATGCCAGTGCCCTCACCTCCTGCACCTGCACCACCACCAGCTGCTGCGGTGCCACCCCCACCAGCACCAGCACGGTCGTCAGGCCACCAGGGGGCTCGCTTTGGCGCTCCACCACCGCCCGCGCGCTGCCCACCCTCGCCTGCCCCAGGTCCACGAGGAGCGCGTGGGCGCGGCCGCACCACGAAGTCCCCCAGCTCCGCGGGCCGCCTCGTGGGGGGTCGCTTGCCTTTGCACCCCAGCACACGGCACGTGTCCCGCTCCCCGAAGTTGTAGTAGCCACATCCCTGGCACGGGCACTGCCACCCAGGCTGCCGCCCTGCGCCACCGCCACCGCGACGCCCAGCGCCCACAGCCATGCTGCCAGCCGAGGACCCGTGGTGAGCGTCAGCAGGCGGGCCGCCTCCACGAGGCGCGCCTGCAGCAGCGGCGACCGCGCCCCCTTCCAGGCGCGGACAAGGGAGCGCGCGCTGGAGCGCTGGCGGCGCGCCCGCCTGTGCCACGCCTCCTCCGAAGGCGCGATGGTCCCAGCCCGAGGAGAGCTCGCGACAGGCTGGCTGTCGCACCCAAAGCTCTCGAGCCGAAACTGGAGGAGGAGGAGGAGGAGGAGGAGGAGGAGGAGGAGGACCCCAAGGCTCCCGACCTCTCACTTCCCCCCCCCCCCCGCGCGCCGCTGGGCCTGCCGGTGGAGGCCTGGCGCGTCTGCAGCAGCAGCGGGTCCGCCCCGGGGCCGCTGCGAGCGGCAGGGCCAGGGGCCGGGCACCCGACAGGCCCCCTTCGGGTCGTCCTCCTTCGAGGAGGAGGAGGAGGAGGAGGAGGAGGAGGAGGAGGAGGAGGAGGAGGAGGAAGAGGAGGAGGGGGAGGAGGAGGAGGAGGAGGAGGAGGAGGAGGAGGAGCAAACCCCTTCGGGTCGTGAGAAAACTGAAGAGGCCCAGGGGGACACAAACAAACACCCTGAGATCCTGGCGTTGCACTCGTTTCACAACGCGCGTTTCCGCCCTGCGTCGGGCCCCGGGATCCTCACACAGCGATATTCGGCTCCCAACAGCGGCGCAGAAAGACGAGGTCCAGTTATGGCCCCTGGCGTGATGTCTGCGATGTTGCATTTTTTCCGGGGGAGGCCCAGGGGGAGACAAACACATGAACACAACTCCCAGGATCCCCCAGGTGTTCCATATGTTCAGGAGTTTTGCTTCCCCTCCACTTCCCATGTTTCTCTGTCTTCCTAGAAATCACTGATTCTTTGTGCTTGCGTGACTTCTCACCTCCTGAAACATCTTCACGGAGGGTTCTTGCCATTTCCGGGGGGGGCCTTGCCCGGCCAACAGCGACTCGAGACGAAAAACCGGCCCCACAGGGAACGGGTCGAGAGTCGACGCCGTGAAAAACCGTGGCGTCGGGCTCTGGGCTCGAGGGTGAGAGGAAACGACGAGAGGGGGTCCGTGGGCGATCGGGTCGGTGCGTTCCCCCTGAGCCTATCCCGGTGGTCGTTCGTGACAATTCCGGTACTCCTGGAACAGCCTCGACGAGACGCGGCGGATGGAAACCACACCGGCCCTGAAGACGTTGGCAGACTTTCCGGAACTGTCGGCAGCCTCCGATGAACCTTGAACACTCCTCTGCTGAAGGGGACCTGGGACACACAAGTGAATGGACACAAATAACAGGATCCCCCGTATGTTCCAATGTTTTCTGGGCTTTTTTGTCTCCCCCCCCCCCCCACTTTCAATAGTTTCCAGTAGTTTCTGGGGAATCGACGATTGATTGTGCCTGTGTTTTTTTTGTCCCCTCCTGACTATGCCCCTGAGGGGCAGTGACTTTGCCCTGTTTGTTGTCCCCTCCTGCCTTTTTTTGTTGTCCCCTCCTGACTTTTTTTTTTCTGTCCCCTCCTGACTTTTTTTGTCTCCTCCTGACTTTGCCTTTTTTTGCCCCCTGCTGTGTTTTTTTGTTTGTTTCCCTCCGGACTAATGCCCTCGAGGGGGCAGTGCCCCGCGGGCCTCGCGCCAGGGCTCCCGCGGTCCAGCGAGGGCCCCCCCCTCGCGAGGGCGAGCGCGGCGAGAAAAAGCGGCTGCCTCTCGGCACGTTCCATTGCAGGGGGCCCCAGGACGCACAGAGAAATACACACAAAGAAAAGGATTCCCCATAGCCCCCCAAGAGACGGTCACGAGAGCCCAGGAGGCCCCCTGGAGGCCTCCCGAGTTCTCCAAGAGGCCTAAAAGGAGGCGCCAAGAGGCCCCAAACGGCCCCACCGAGGCTCCAAGAGGCCACGAACGCGCAAGCAAACGCCTGCGATGGCACAATACGGGCCGGCGGAATGAGCGAAGCGATTAAATAAAAGGATTCCCCATAGTTTCCTACATTTGTTCTGGGTTTCTGTCTTCCCCCCCACTTCCCACATTTTCGCATATGTTCTGGGAATCGCCGATTCATTGTGTCTGTGTGTTATTTTCCCTCCTGAACCTGTGAGGGTCAGGGCTGAACCTAAACAGTGCTTTTCGTTACCGTTTTGTTATCGTTTTCCCTCGTTTTGTCCTCAATACGCCTTGAACGCAGAACGAAATCGAAACTATCACGGCCCACGAAATCGCGAAAACACCGTTCAGGTCCACCCCTGGTGAGGGTCCCAAGCAAAAACGCCCTGCCTGGCGCCGCCCAGAAATCTCAGGGCCTTTCGTTAGGACCCGCCTCCGCTCAGGACCCATACCCAGCCAGCCTACCAGATGTCTGCAAAAGCCCAGGGACACACCCACGAATGAATGGGCACAAATCCCAAGATTCTCCATCATTTTATATGTTCTCTGAGTTTCGCCTTCCCCCCCCTTCCAACATGATCCCACAATTTGTTCATGGGAATCGACCGTTATTTGTGTATGCGTATTTTTGTTTGCTCCCTCCCGAGTGTCGTCCCGACCAGTCTCTCGAGCGCTCCCCCTCCTCGACGCCCGAGAGATAAACTGTCCCCATGATATCCGAGTCTCTAGAGGCCGTTGTGGGCCCCGGAAACGGCAGGGCCTTTTTTTCACCGTTTCCACAAAAAAGTCCCTTGAAAATGGAAACGGCAAAAAAACGGCGACCGCAAACGGCGAAAAAACGGCTCCAGGATTGGAACCGGAGCCGGAACCGGTCAAAAAACGGCGACGGAACTGGTAACAAAAACGGAGTCGGAACTGGCAACAAAACGGCAAAACGGAACCGGTACAAAAACGGCCGTCGATTGCAGGGCCCACTATGCTAGAGGCCTCCCAGATGAGGTCGGAGGTTGCACGTGGGGTCGGAGCATCGGGCCGCATCGGCCATGCATCACCGATGCAAGATCCGATGCATCGGCGTTGTCGGATATGCATCGGAGATCGGCTACGTGTCTCTTGAGGCCTCCCAGATGGGGTCGAAGGTTAAGTGGGTTGGGACATTAGGCCGCATTGACCATGTATCACCGATGCAAGAACCGAAGCATCGGCGACATCGGATATACATCGGCGATAGGCTACGAGTCTCTTGAGGCCTCCCAGATGGGGTCGGAGGCTAAATGTGGGGTCGGAACATCGGGCGCATCGACCATGCATCACTGATGCATCACCTATGCATCGGCGACGTCGTGTACAGCTGGACCTAGGACAGGAGAACATCCTTGCAAGATCCTGCAGTATCCTGCACTCGAGCCCAAGTGGATGACCCTCTGGCTCTGCGGGATCCTGCGAGATCCCGCGCTCTGACTGACCCCCGTTTGCACTGACCCGCGGAGAAACCAAGGGGTACCGATACCATCACTCTCCCGGACCTGGGTGCGTTCCGACCAGGACTGCGACGCGAATCTGGCGGTAAAGACGAGCGCCGCCCCAGAGGCTCCACAACGGGCAAACGAGAGAAAGGCAGTTAGCGGCATGGGCACCCTGATGGGCCAATTTTCCACCACCACTACCATAGGTAGGAGAGGGAGGAGGAGGAGGAGGAGGAGGAGGAGGAGGAGGAGGAGGAGGAGGAGAAGGAGGAAGAGGAGGAGGAGGAGGAGGAGGAGGAGGAAGAGGAGGAGGAGCACCTCCTCATCCTCCCTCCTCCCCCGTCCCGCATGTGGCAGTGGTGGTGCTGGACAAGCTGCCCTTCCTATCTGTTCTTTGGCATCGGCCCCCGCCCGTCGAGCCCCGACGGCCGCAGGCGTGCCCAGCCCGGGGCCCTGCCGACCCTGGTAGGCCAGGCGTGGTAGGGCGGCGGCTGCGGCCCCGCCGGACGCGGTGCCCCACCGGCCTGAGAGGGAACGACAGCTTGCCGTCGCTCGGACGTCCATTTCCCGTGCATTTGTCGGTTTCGTGCGTGTTTTTTTTGCTCGATGGTCCAGGATGGTCCTCGATGCTTTTCGCCGAGAAAATATGCACACGTCCGAGCGATGCCAGGACAGGGGGGGATAGGCATAGGCGGGGAAGCATCGACCTGGAATCGGCGCTACATCGGCGGTATAGGCCTCCGATAGTGCATCCGCACCTTCCTGGGCAGGCTGGGGCTATCGGTGACTCCTATCGGCGATCCATGGGCGATTGGGGTTGATGCATCCCCCCCTATTTGAGCAGGGACCGACCGTCCTGGCATTCCTATAGTCATACCACGAAATGTTCTTAGAACCCAAAAATGCTCTAAGAACAAAAACAATGTTCTTAGAACATAATCCCGATGTGTCAAACAGGACAGCCCCAACCAGACATGTTCTAAGAACATGTCGTGGGAACCACAAAAGGTTCTTAGAACTTTGTTTGGTAGGGCTATAGGCTTAGAACTTGCGTGGGGACATTTCTAGGATGGTCTGAGAACTTTGTTTGGTAGGGCTATAGGCACGCCAGGACGCATCGCCACTGCTTGACCTATGCCTATCCCCGAGTTATCCGGGGTAACTCGCATCCGGGTTAACTCGGGCTTGGATTCCCGAAAAAAGGAACCCGAGTTAGCCCTGACCCGAGTTACCCCTGATGATTCGGGGCTCTGGACGCCCGAATTATCCGGGGTAACTCGGGTCCGGGCTAAGTCGGGTTCGGATTCCCGAAAAAAAGGACCCGAGTTAGCCCTGACCCGAATTACCCCTGATGATTCGGGGCTCTGGACGCCCGAATTATCCGGGGTAACTCGGGTCCGGGCTAAGTCGGGTTCGGATTCCCGAAGAACGAACCCGAGTTAGCCCTGACCCGAGTTACCCCTGATGATGTCGTGGGAACCACAAAAGGTTCTTAGAACTTTGTTTGGTAGGGCTATAGGCTTAGAACTTGCGTGGGGACATTTCTAGGATGGTCTGAGAACTTTGTTTGGTAGGGCTATAGGCACGCCAGGACGCTTCGCCACTGCTTGACCTATGTTGGGCGCCCGAGTTATCCGGGGTAACTCGGGTCCGGGGTAACTCTGGCTTGGATTCCCGAAAAAAGGAACCCGAGTTAGCCCTGACCCGAGTTACCCCTGATGATTCGGGGCTCTGGACGCCCGAATTATCCGGGGTAACTCGGGTCCGGGCTAAGTCGGGTTCGGATTCCCGAAGAACGAACCCGAGTTAGCCCTGACCCGAGTTACCCCTGATGATGTCGTGGGAACCACAAAAGGTTCTGAGAACTTTGTTTGGTAGGGCTATAGGCTTAGAACTTGCGTGGGGACATTTCTAGGATGGTCTGAGAACTTTGTTTGGTAGGGCTATAGGCACGCCAGGACGCTTCGCCACTGCTTGACCTATGTTGGGCGCCCGAGTTATCCGGGGTAACTCGGGTCCGGGGTAACTCTGGCTTGGATTCCCGAAAAAAGGAACCCGAGTTAGCCCTGACCCGAGTTACCCCTGATGATTCGGGGCTCTGGACGCCCGAATTATCCGGGGTAACTCGGGTCCGGGCTAAGTCGGGTTCGGATTCCCGAAGAACGAACCCGAGTTAGCCCTGACCCGAGTTACCCCTGATGATGCCGTGGGAACCACAACAGGTTCTGAGAACTTTGTGTGGTAGGGCTATATAGGCTTAGAACCTGCGTGGGGACATTTCTAGGATGGTCTGAGAACTTTGTTTGGTGGGGCTATAGGCACGCCAGGACGCTTCGCCACTGCTTGACCTATGCCTATCCCCCCCCATCGTTGCCCCCGACGGCCGCGCGCGGCGACCACCAGCAGCTGGGCGGCGGGGCGCGCGCCGGCGACGGCCCCGCGGGCGTCGCCAGGGCGAGCCCGCGCGCGCTGCGCCAGGGGCCGGCCGCGCCCGCGGGGCCGCGGTCCACGAAGCAGTGCCCGGGGTTCCTTTGGGGCGGGGCGGCCACCTCGTCCGTGGTCGTGGTCGTCGTCGAGGTCGTCGTCGCCGTCCTCCTCCTCCTCCTCCTCCTCGTTGTCGTCGTCGTCGGTCGTCGTCGTCCTCCTCCTCCTCCTCCTCGTTGTCGTCGTCGTCGTCGGCCGTCGTCGTCGTCCTCCTCTTCCTCCTCGTTGTCGTCGTCGTCGTCGTCATCGTCGTCGTCGTCCTCCTCCTCCTCCTCCTCCTCCTCCTCCTCTTCCTCCTCCTCCTCGTCCTCCTCCTCCACCTCGCCCTCGTCGGTCGCTCTCTCCTCGACCCGCGGTCCCTGGCGGGCCGCCTCCCAATGTGTGACGACAGCGCGCTCGTCGATGGACACCGCCAGTCCTGGGCGGTCTTCGGCGGTCTTCTGACGGTCTTCTGGCGGCCTTCGTCGGTTTGTGGCGGTCGTCGGCGCGAAAGCTAGAGTTGGCGGCGCGCAAAAGGGGGTAGGGGGAGGGGGGAAGGCTTCTTAGAAGCAGGCTGCTTCTCAGAAGGAGGAGGAGGAGGAGGAGGAGGAGGAGGAGGAGGAGGAGGAGGGGGGGGGGGGAAGGAGGAGGAGGAGGGCTGCGCGGTTAAGAGAAGGGTCTCTGCTCGCGCGCCCGATGGGCCGAGGGGGCGGAGGGCGGCCGCAGAGCTGGGGCGAAGAGGGGAGGAGACTCACTGCGCGAAGATCTTCGACACGAGTCGCACGAGTACGAAGGGGCCCCAGGACACATACACACATAAATACTCCTCCTCCTCCTCCTCCTCCTCCTCCTCCTCCTCCTGCTCCTCATCCTTCTCCTCCTCCTTATCCTCCTCATCATCCTCTGCTTCCTCCCCCCACTCCTAGCCCGTTCGATCAGGGTCGGCGGCACCGGCCGGCAGGCCTCTCCAATAAATACACACAAATAAAAGGATTCCCCATATTTTCAAATATTTTCTGGGTTTCTGTCTTCCCCCCCACTTCCCATGTTTTCCCGTATTCTCCTGGGGGTCGACGATTAATTGTATCTGTGTGTTTTTTCCCCTCCTGAGAGTAGCCGCTGCGGCCAGCCCGCGCGTCCGGAGCGCCCAGGACAACAGGACAAACAACAGCCAAGCGCTTGCGTGCTTGCTGGTCCTGTCTACCCCGCGGTCCTTGGGCGGGTCGCCCCCCCCCCCTGAAGTCCGGGCGCTGGAGCTTTTTCGCGCCGGGGGTTTCCGCGCGGTCTCGGGCCTGGGACCACCACATATCGATCTGGCTCGACAGAAGGTTGGGATCTAGCGCTCCAGCCGTGTTTTCGCCATATCTGCGGGTCGCCCCGCCGTCGCCGCCGCTGCAGCCGTCGTTCGGCGTGCGTCGTGAGTCGTCGTCCGACTTTTGCCGCCGAAGACCTCGATCACCCTGCACCCCAGAGGGTACCCAAAATCTAGACTCACTGCTAAAAGGACTGGTTTCTCGTCATGAGTCTTGCCAAAGGGTTTCTTACTTGGGCAAAGGTTGGTGTCTCGGGGGGCTACCTTGCCCGTTGCTCGAAGTTCATCGGGTTCCTCGGGTTCCCCGAGGAATGTTACTTTGCATGATGCCTGGAGGTTCCTCGGATTCCTCAGGTTCGTCGGGTTCCTCGGGTTCCCCAGGTTCCTCGCGTTCCCAGGGTTCCTCTGATTCCTCGGGTTCCCCAGGCTCCTCGGGTTCCTTAGGTGCCTCGGGTTCCTCGGGTTCAACTGGTTCCAGGTTCCCCAGTTTCTTCGGCAATGCCAAGCGATGCCAAGCAATGCCAAGCGATGCCAAGCGATGCCAAGCAATGCCAAGCAATGCCAAGCAATGCCAAGCAATGCCAACCCATGCCAAGCAATGCCAAACGATGCGCCCAACGATGCGCCTATAACCTTTCCCCTAATTTGAAGGGGAACTGGAACACACAAATAAATACACACAAATAAAAATATCCCCCATATTTTCACATATTTTCTGGGTTTTTGTCTTCCCCACCACTTCCCATATTTTTGCATATTTTCCTGGGAGTCGACGATTAATTGTGTCTGTGTGTTTCTTTCCCTCCTGATAATTGGGGTCCCGCCGGGTTCATTGAAAGGTCCCGGGGTCTAGAGAGGGTGCCCAGAGTCAGGTGCGCGCAAACATGGACTAGCGGTCCATGGACTTGGCGCGCGGTCGCCAAATCCATGGATCGGGGAGGCGCCCTCCCCGAAATGCGGCCGGTGTGGCCTCGTCCGGCGGCGGAAATCCGCGCTTTCCCATGGAAACGGGACCCGTCGCTGATCCACGCGCCACCTTGATCCATGCCTGCGATCGCCTGAGTTTCAATACGTTGGATCTCCACGTTTCCCCCCGAACCCCTCCGCCCCCCCAGCGTTTCCCCTGAGAGGCAGGTGCCCAGCAGGCCTCGACGGGGCCCGCAACCCAGGGCGGTCTCGCAGGCGCCGGGCGACGGGAGCTCCAGCCCGCCCGCCCTGCAGGACCGGGGGGGGAGGGCCAAAGACGGAGAACAAAACTTCCGTCTTGATTAGAGGGCAAGCAGTCCCTCCCCCCATGACAGCCTGCCCGACGAGCGAGGCCGTGCAGTCGACGCACCCAGAGACTCGAACGGGGCAGGGCTGTTCAGCAGACGCCCCAGGCCGTTCAGCAAACGCCAGTCATCGGGTCTGGGTGTTTTTTCTTCCTTTGATGAGTTCAATACACCCTGCGAAATGCTTAAGAAATCATGGGTTAAGAAATTCATAGTCTCAGAACTTGAATAAAAACCCAAAATTCCCATTCGAATCTTAGGATTTACATTGAAACATTAAGAATAATCGAGACCCTGGCCGAAAGTTTAAGTTTTCTTAAACATCGCCTAAGGTGTACGACGGATCTCTGTGTGTGCCCAGATCTCGCCGCCCTGTGGACGGCCTGCACGGCCGCGCCGCGCCCGCCGTCGCCTGGGGCCCCGAGCCCGACCCGTCCCTGCCTGTGGCGGCCGCGGTGTGCTCACCGCGCAGGCCGCGCTGGCCGCCGCCGCCGCCGCCGCCGCCGCCGCCGCCACCGTCGTCGTCGTCGTCGTCGTCGTCGTCGTCGTCGTCGTCGTCGCCGTCGTCGTCGTCGTCGTCGTCGTCGTCGTCGTCGTAGTGGTCACAGCGAGGGCACCAACCCATCATGGAGGTCAGGGGGGACGACGTTTGGCCGAAGGGTGGGGGAGGGGGGGGGGGCTCTGGGTCTGGGCAAGTGCTTAGTAGGCCTGGTTCTGCCAGTCGCCCCAGCAGACTGGGGGGAGTGGTCCTGACCATTCGCCAGAAGCAGCCGCCAGAAGCAGCCAGGATCTGGACTATGGACTATGGACTATGGATCTGGATCTGTATGGTCGCGCCGATCGGCGAAACCCTACAGAAAAAAAACAAGGATTGCGAAAAAACCGAAGGATTGCAAACAAAAACCGAAGGATTGCAAAAAAAACGAAGGTTGTTTTGCAAGCCTTCGATCTGTATGGTCGCGCCGATCGGCGAAACCATGCGAACAGAAAAAAACGGCGACTCGGAGGGCTCCAGAAAGAGGAGGAAGAGGAGGAGGAGGAGGAGGAGGAGGAGGAGGAGGACGAGGAGGAGGAGGAGGCGGAGGACGAGGAGGCGGAGGAGGGGGGGGACTTTGAGATCCTGGGCAGGATCCCGAGGGCCCCAGGGAGAGGGCGCAGGCGCCGGCGCGCGAGGCAGGGCGGAGGCGAGCACGAGCGGACGGAGCACGAACAGCAACACACCGAGGACGAGGACGCGAGCTTGAACGAAGGATTGCAAAAAAACGAAGGATTGCAAAAAAAAAACGAAGGATTGCAAAAAAAAAAAAGAAGGATTGCAATCCTTCGTTTTTTTGCAAATCCTTCGTTCGGACGAGGGCGCGAGCTCCTCAGCGGGTCGCACCAGTCCATCCCCGCGGCCGCGGGGCGCCCGCGGGGCGCTCGCCAGGGCCGGAGCGGCAGCAGCAGGCGGGCGAGCGCCCCGTCGGGCGCGGGAGCGAGGCCGCCGTGGGGGGCCGGAGGAAGGGGGGGGCGCCCGAGGCGCTCGGGGAGGGCCCCGAGGCCGCCCCGAGTGGGAGGCACGAAGACACACTGGTGCTGTACTGATGCCCTCCTCCTTGAGGGCGCGCGTCCCGCCCGAACATGTCGTATGCCCATCTTGTAGTATAAGTATATGGCGTTTCCCGAGCGGCGTGGCCAGACAGCGCCCGCCACGACGCATGTACCATGAGAGTTCTCGGTGCGCGCGTCGCCCCTGGGGGGGGGGCGACGCACATACAGTACAAGTATGTTGGGGTGACGCCGACCCGAGGCAGCCCCGGGGAGCGGCGGCCAGAGAGTGCCCCGAAAGGGGCCCCAAGAGACACGCAGTACTGCCCAGAGGAGGTAATCCGAAAGGGCCCCAAATGGCCCCAGGAGGGAGGTCGACAAGAAATCCAACAGATGCACCCGAATCACCCCACGAGGCGCCCCAAGGTGGCAAGGTGTGCCGTCAAGAGGCCTCCCAACAGAGCGAGGGTCTTCTCGGCCACATGGGCGCGGCAGTGCGCTGCCGGAGATGTCTTCGATCAGGCAGGGGATCAAGGCCACGAGGTAGAGGCACACTGCTACAGTGGAAGCCAGTCCACAAGAAACCTTCCGCAAGAAGCCCAACCCTGAGACCCCAGGACGTCCACAGATTCCTGGTGTGGGAACGTCACGCCGTCCGTGGCAAAACCATCGAACCCCCCAGGAAGCCCGGGGCACCCTGGAGGCAAGCTGGGTATTCCTTGCGTGGGTCGCCACTGTGCCATCGGTCGGGGATGGACAGACCCCCCTTCAGTAAAACCTGGTTTGGTGGAAACGACCAGAGACCCAAACCTGGCGGGCGCAGGCCTGGAAAAAGAACGGCCACGGCGCCATCTCGAGAACCGAAAACGGACAATTCACTGATCGACGTGTCACGGTTGGGGTCTCTGTCCACCCCCGAATCAGGAACGCCAGGCGAGCAACGAGAGGAGGCCTTTTTCTGGCCACGGCGGGCCTCGCCCGCGACGAGCTTCCCCGACCCGGACGGAAGGCACGGTCCGCAGATCCGAGCCCCTCCCGAATCCAAACTTTGAGCAGGGACCGACCGCCCTGGCATTCCTACAGCCCTACCACGAAAGGTTCTCAGAACCAATACGTGTTCTAAGAGCGAAAGCGATGTTCTTAGAACATAAGCCCGATGCTATAAAGCGATACAGACTGCGGGTCAATCCAGACCCGGGTCAGCAGAAAACCAAAACTGCAGTGCAGGTCTTCGCAAACCCGGGTCAGCCAATACATGAGCGGCCGCCTCGCGGCCACGAGCGGCTCGCGAACCCGGGTCAGCCAGTGGGGTGGTCTTCGCAGGATCCTGCAAGATCTGGCGCTCTGGCTGACCCACGTTTGCATTGACCCCCGTCTCAAGGCTCCCGATTTGAGCAGGGACCGACCGTCCCAGCATGCCTGTAATCCTACCACGAAGCTTTCTCAGAACCAAATCATGTTCTAAGAACGAAAGCAATGTTCTTGGAGCGTACACCCAATGTTATAAAACAAGAGAGACTCCGCCAGACATGTTCTAAGAACATTTCGTGGAAACCACAAAAGGTTCTTAGAACATGTTTGGTGGGGCTATAGGCGAGCCAGGACGCTTCGCCACTGCTTGAAAGGTAATGCTTGTCTCAGCGTCTTGGTTGGAAGTTTCGGGAGCGGCATAATCGACCCCTAACAAACAATCCCCTTCCGTGACGTCATCCTCGCCTCGGGCGCCCCCCCAGCTCCGGCTCGGGGAGGAGGAGGAGGAGGAGGAGGAGGAGGAGGAGGAGGAGGAGGAGGAGGAGGAGGAGCAGGAGGAGGAGGAGGGGGGGGAGGAGGAGGAGGAGGAGGAGGGGAGGAGGAGGAGGACGAGGAGGATGAGGAGGAGGAGGAGGAGGAAGAGGAGGAGGAGGAGGCGGAGGAGGAGGAGGAAGAGGAAGAGGAAAAGGAGGAGGAGGAGGAGGAGGAGGAGCCCTGCTGGTGGTGGCGGCGCCGCCTCTCCCGCCTCCAGGCTGGGGACCGGCGCACAGACCGACAGCGGACAGGCCACGGCGGTGTGCAGCACGAAGTGGCGCCGGAAACCAGGGATCGGCCCAAACAGTGCGTTTCGTCGTCGTTCTGTTTTCGCTTTCCCTCGTGTTGTCTTCAATCCACCTTTGCTGCAAGGCGACATCGGAACGAAGACGGCCCAGGAAATCACTCACACACCGTTTAGGTCGACCTCTGCCCAGCGTCTACCACGAGCGGTAAAAACGGAGCCGGTGGCAACCAGAACGCAGACCAAACCGGGGCGTCAAGGCTAGACGGAATAGAACTATGCACAGGATCGGTGCGTACGCCATCCTGACTTGGCCAGGAGGGCACATGCACCGATCCTGGGCCCAGGTTGGGCCAGGCCAAGATCGGTGCATGTGCACAGTTCTCTTCGCCCGAAAGGCGAAATCGAAGTCGAAGCACGGAAAGAGAGACAGACACGGAGACGAGAAGCGCAACAGAACTCCGAACCGATCGAAACAGCGTTGTGGTCGGCCCTCGCAGATGGATGGTGGGGTCTGTTCGCCTCTGGAGCCAGCCGCACTATGCTGGCTGGCTCGGCCCCTGCAACTCCTTCGCGCCCTGGGCGAGGGACAGGGGGGGGGGAGGCCTCAAAATTCCTGCAGAGCCTGCTCGCCGCCGAGGGGGAGGGAGAGAACGCTGCGGGGAGAGGAGAGGCTACGGTCGGACCTGCAGGCCGGAAGCACACCCTCCCGGGACATCATTGAGACCCCCCAACCGGCCGGCACACACTTCCTGCGCCGGCGGCGGGGCAGGGGAGGCCTGCGCCAGCGGGAGGGCCTGGACGGCGGTACCGCTAGGGCAGATTGTGCCGCCATGCAAGAGGGGGAGCGCGGCCAAAGGAGGAGGCGGAGGTAGCGAGCTGCTCCGGGGGGCGGGTCACGCCCCGAGCAGGTGGCACGGCCGGCTCCGCCGGCGGGCCCGGCGGGCCCCCGCGGCGGCGGCTGCGCCAGGTGCCCGGCGGCGGCGGGGCCCGGTGCGGGGGATGGGGCACCCCGGGTGGGACGGTGCAGGACGGACAGTGCCACAGCCTGACGGCAGCCCATCCTCAGGGCAGGAGGACACACAGGACACCCAAGGGCGCCCTCCCCAGGATGCACCAGAGCACCCCGCAAGCACGGAGCACACCAAGGGCACCCTCCCCGAACCGACCTCGATCTCATGCCCCGTTGCCGACTGTACCCGCGCCGCCGCCGCCAGGAGTGCACGGGCCCACGCGCTGGCGGACGTTGTGGCCTTCCCGCCTCGGCGGGAGGCGGTTCCCATCAGGAGCCGGGCCGCAGATGCTGCAGCGGTCGACGCCGAAGGGCGCCGCAGCCGTGGGGGCAGAGGCGGCTCTCGAGGGGGCCCCACGGCGACCTCGTGGAGGCCTCCGCGGGCCTTCTGGGGGCTCCCCAAAGCCCTTTGGGCTGCCCGAAGACCCTGTGAGGGCCATGAACGCCCCCAAACCCCGATCCTCTACAGTAGGAGCTCGACCACAAGAAACCTTCCACAAGAAGCCCAACCCTGAGACCCAAGGACGACACTTGACTTTTGGTGTGGGAACGTCACGCTTTCCATAGCAACACCAGCGAAATCCAAGAGACCCGTGGCACCCTGGAAGAAAGCAGGGGATTTCTTGGCATGGTTTTCCACTGTACCAGTCAGACGAGGCCCATCATTCCTGTCCCTCGCTCGCGCTCCTGCACGACCCCGGACGGTCCCCTCCTACCCTTCTCCTCCTACCCTGCGTCCGCTCCGCTGTCTGCGTCCTCGTCCTCGTCGTCGTCGTCCTCGTCGACCAAATTGTCGCCGACCTCGTGTGTCCTCGTTTGCGTTGACGCGGTCGGGGAAGGGGGGCGTGGCGGCGGCCGGCATGGTCGCGTCCTGCCCGCCTCAGACGCGCTGTACATGATGGCCTCGCCAGGGACGAGGGCGACGCCGACGACAATGGCGTGGACGAAGACGGCGACGTGGGCGACGACGCGGCCGACGGCGCTGAGAGCGAAGAAGAAAAACGGAAGGTAAGAGTTGGACGCCCGAGTTATCCGGGGTAACTCGGGTCCGGGGTAACTTGGGTTCGGATTCCCGAAAAACGAACCCGAGTTAGCCCTGACCCGAGTTACCCCTGATGATTTTGAGGCTCTGGACGCCCGAATTATCCGGGGTAACTCGGGTCCGGGGTAAATCGGGTTCGGAATCCCGAAAAACGAACCCGAGTTAGCCCTGACCCGAGTTACCCCTGATGATTTTGGGGTTCTGAAAGAGGGCTCACCACCTAATCAGCCCCCGCGAGCTCGCCGGCCAAGGCCAGTGATGATACAGCACTCGCCCGCGGAGCGAGCGAAGCGACTTTATCATCTCCCAAGAACATGAAGGGGCCCTGGGACACACAAATAAATACACACACATAAAAAGATTCCCCATATTTTCACTGGGTTTTTGTCTTCCCCCCCACTCCCCATATTTTCCAATATTTTCCTGGGACTCGACGATTAATTGCGTCTGTGTTTTTTCCCCTCCCGAGAACAGGTCGTCGCTTCACCCGTCACCCCTGCCTCAACCTCGTCGAAGAAAACGCGACGTGAGAAAAACGTTTGTGGAACAAACGTGCCGGCGCTTCGGGAACAACAAGCACGAAATTGCCATGCAGTCAGAAGGACGAGTCGGCAGACTCGAGGTTGCACAGTCGGCAACCGAGTGGAACAATTGAGGCATATGTAGAACAATTTCATCTCGGAGAAGGAGGAGGAGGAGGAGGAGGAGGAGGAGGTATGACAAATCAGGAAGGCGAAACAACACGCATCTTCAAAAACTCCTTGCGTACAGCTTCACGTGAAAGCCGGCTCTTCCGGGTGAGGCCCGCATGCAAGGGGCCTGCTACACTGGAGGACGGGGCACGAGACCCGGACCTCCGATGCTATCACGGCAAGCTCGTGCTGTGACGACTTCGGCCTTGGTTTCCGACCTTGCGTGGATCGTTCGAGCTGGAACGATCGGCGGTTTCTCGATCGCCAGCTCATCCCATAGAGCCGATTCTGCGCCACTCTCGGGGTTCCACCTTGAAAGGCCAACACTGGGGTCGTCGCCGCGTCGGCACGACGAGAACCTACCAATGATTTCTTTCCCGACGAGGGCCCCAGAGACACCCCGACCCCAACACACAAATCTTTCGACGCGAGTCTCTAGCTGCCCTGGGCCGTGAAAGATCTTTCCGAAAGCAAGAGACGCGCACGTCGTCATTCCCCCGTGAAGCCTGGAAGTCCTCCTCTTCCTCCTCGCCCTCGGTCTCTCATTCCTCCTCCTCCTTTCTCATTGTGGTACTCGCCCTCCTCCTCCTCCTCCTCCTCCTCTTCCTCCAATCCTGCAGGCGTACTCTGCTTCTCTCCTCTTCCTCCTCGGTCCTGCCTCCTCCTTTCTCCTCGGCCGCCCCCTTCCCTCAACGAGCGACAGAGGATGCGGAGGGAAATGGGCAGGGCCTGCTTTCCGCAGAGCACGTTGGGGCATGCGCCTCTCGCGTCGGGGGGTCAGGAAGCGGACTCCGTCGTCGTCGTCGCCGCCGCTACCGTCGTCGATGGGAAGTAGGGAGCAGGAGGACGAGGAGGGGCAGGAGGAAATATTGATATGTCACCAGCCCTCTGGGCTAAGGTGGCCTAGAGATATCATGCTTTCCCCTTCCATAAAAGGCCCTCCCTTCCCTCCTCCCTGAACTGCGTTCGGGTCTTCGCGAGGCGGCAAGAGGCCCTGCTCCGCCCGAGATGGCTCCTAGAGGGCGTCCGATGCTCTGACATGGCCGCAAAGATGGCTCCAGGTAGCCGGCGATGGTTCAAAGTTGGTTTCGACGTACCTCCAAAGGGCCCGACGAATGCCACAAGATGTTGCGAAGTGTCCTCGGAACCCCCTAAGAGGAGACCCGCCCGCGAGGCCCAGGCCCTCCAAACACCTGAGGAGCATCACTGATGTCTGCCCTCTCGCTTGCTCGCTCAGGCGGCCCCAAGAGCGCCAACAAACGGCCCACAAATCGCCTCAAGAGGAGATTTTGATGGCACTGGGGGGCGACGAACATCGAGGACCCCCCTTCCCCTTGATCCAACATGACCCTCAGAGACCTTCCAGGGCCCCTAGCAGGGCCCCAAGGGACTCCCAAAACGGCCCAAGAGGGCAACAACATCCTTCAACAAAAAACCCTAAGAGGAAACCGCCCCCCCCAAAAAATCCCAAGAGGGCTCTGAGATTCGGTGCTGAGGGGTATGTCCTTGCCCCCGTTGTCCTTTTCCTGGCTCTCCTCCCCCGTTTATGAGTCTCCCCCCCTTGCCTTCATCGTTTTCTGCTTACGTTTGCTCCACTTCCTGGTCGTCGTAGTCGTCGTCGTCATCCTTTTCGTTTTTCCTCCTTTCTTCCTTCCCGTCACGCAGGTCCATGGATGGCCCCCCAAAACATCCCAAACCGCCGTGTTATCACAAATGTCCCTGGTCACCTTGACTGCCCGCGTGTTCACCATATGCGTCTGCCCACTTTTCCCCCCGTCAAGTTTCATGGGCAAGGGTTGTGAATGGGCTGGTGGGTGCACGCGAAGCTTGAAACCATAGTCTGTGTGCGTGTGACGAGGGTGTGGGGGGGAATATGGGAGAAGTATGAGGATCAGGGTCAGGATCAGAGCTCCGGAATAATCATCTATGTTCGGCGGCTACCAGCATGAAATCAAGCTCGGGGAAAACCCAGGAACGGGTTCAAGCTCAGCGCGAGGGTGCCCCCAAATAATGCACCGAGGACTGGTGGCACACCCCCGATAGCCCGTCCCAGACACGAATTACCCAAAACATGGCCCAGCAGGTTGAAGAAGAGGAAAGAAGCGACGACGACGACGACGACAACGACGACGACGACGACGACGGCAACGATGACGACGACGACGGCGACGACGACGACGACGACGACGACCGCGACGACGACGATGACGACGTCGATGACGACGGCAGGCGGACGGCGGCGACGAAACACGGCGACACGAAGGCCCGATGACACCGAAGGATGCGCTAGAAGCTCAGCCCGCTCGAAGTCGCCCCTCGCAGGCAGCAACATCGAATGGCCATGAAACGTGACTGGGTATGTCGGGTGCCCATGGCGAACTTCGCGCTGTTAGCAAAACCAAAAATGCACAGACGGGCTGGGGGCCTCAGCCTTGCGAGCTCCCCAGGACTCAGCCATGGACGACGGCGCTGGCGGGGGCCTGGCCCGTGGCCTTGGAGTCCTGGCTCTCCTGGGGCGGGAGTGGAGGGTAGCGTGGCCTTCGGCGCTCTAGGCCTCGGAGAGGAAGCCGAGGAGGTACATGGGAGGTGGCGCGGTGCTCGAAGCCTCGAAGCCCTGGACCTCGGAACGGGAATCGATGAGCGAGGGGGTGGCTCGGCGCTCGGAGCCCTGGGCCTTATAGCAGAGGTCGAGAAAATAGGAGGTGGCGCGGCGCTCGATGCCCTGGGCCTCGTCGCGGCCATAACGGAGGGAAGAGGTCTGGCACCCATAGCCTGCGGCATCGGAGCGGTCCACGAGGCACGAGAAGCGCTGCTCATAGTGCTGGGCCTCGGAGCGGAAGCCGAGGAGGTAGGGGCGGCATATATTTTCCTGGACATCGGGCTTTGCGTGGAGAGGTCTGAAAAAAAAAAACGTAGTTTGGAGCAGGGCGTGACAAAGCTAACTGAACAGGTTGGCTCACTGGCAAGAACAACAACATCCGTAGCATGCGCTCGACCACACTCTTTTGCGTCTACATGTCTGCGAAAACCTTGAGCCAATCCTTGAATTCGCGCCCCATGTGGTCGGTGGCGCCTGACTCCCCCGTCTGCAGCAGGCTGCCCACGGTCGTCGCACGGATCGAGGGGCCGAGGTGGATCAGCACCTTCTCCTTGTTCTGGTCGTAGCAGCGGCCCGCCATGCAGAAGCGTATCAGGTCGCCCTTGGCTAGAATATCCAAATATCACAGCTGGTGACGCAGCTATGTAATCTGCTTCGCGTCGGCTGCTCCGGCAGCTTCCGCGCGCGCCGCCTCTGCCGCCGCTGTTCGCAGCCGGCCAAGCGGCCGCCGCGGCCGCCCCCCCCCCCCCTCCCTCCTCCGAACATCGAGGCTCCTGAGGCGAACGGCGAGCGAGCGCGGGCCAGTTGTCGATGCCGACCGCAAAAATACGGCGCGGGGGTTGACGGCCGCAGGTGTGGGGGGGCGGAGCAGATGCTTTAGCGCGGCATGGTCGTTGCGTCCGTCCATGGCTTCGGGCGTTTCGTCGCAGTCGGTGCATTTGGACTCTTTCCGGGCAACCGGCGCGGGTCGCGCGCGTCGTCGCGCCCCGCTTATCGTCTAGAGTGTAGATCGACACTATGGGCGCATGCTGCACATCAAGCATTCGAGATATGTTCGGCGCCTACTGCGTGCGCCATCTCGAAGGCGAAACGCGCGGGAAGTCGGGGCTCTGCGGGGGGAACAAGTCTGACTGCAGACGGCCCCGCTTTCGTTTCGGAGGTCGCGGGCGAAAGCTGCGAGATCTCCTCTCGTCGGCGGCTCAACATCTCGCGCTGGCCCCCAGACCCCCCGCCCTCAGTCGGGGCGGCGGCCTCGAGAGTCGATGCGTCGACCCGAAACCGTGCGCCCCGCGCCCCTGCGACATTCAACAGGACGAAATGATGCTCGCTGCGCCCCTTGCAAATCACCCACGGCGCCACTGATCGCCGCGCGCATTCAGATGTCAGCATCTACTCGGCGCGCCAGAGGGGGGCAGCACTGGCCAGGCGTGGCCCAGGAAGAGATGCCCATCATTGAGAGCCCGCCAGAGAGCGGCGATGGCTTAGGCGGGTTTTCGGGCCATCTTCTGGACCCAGGCAAAAAGTCGAGCGGCTTGTGCGCCCGCAGTAGGAACCACTTCTCACTGCTTCAAAGAACATCGCGCGCGAAGCTCCGGGGGGGGGGCGCCCCGGCCCGAGGCCTGGCCTCGGTCTATTGCCGGACAAAACTTCGCGACCAGCGCGTTCGCCAGGTTGGCCATATTTCCAACGAGCACCGCGTGGCTCGTTCGCCGGCGCACGCAATTCGATTGAATGCCCCCTGGAATGCGAGCTTGCAGGTCGCCCGGCTTCCCCATGGGCAACACGCCATTTCCCGCCCAACCCTCGTGACCGAACGTCGATGCTGCAGCTCGGCCACCGCCGCTATGTTCCAGGCGAGTCGAACTCCGAGATATCGGAGCCGCAGTAAAACCTTGCCTCCAGACGTCCAACCCCTTGAACCTGTCTGTCCCATGGGAACGGTCAGAACTCGGTGCGATCTCCCACTTGCCACTGTTCTGATGTAGGCCGACGTCTGATTCAAGGAGCGCGTCTATCTGCCTGGTCAACGGGCCTCTCAAGCCTCTCCATTCCTCGCAGGCGCACGATCGAACGCGCCATCGGCGAACATGTGAGTGGCACCGTCGCAGCACCCCTGGAATATGCCAATGCTACTCAAATCCAAGAACGGGGGGCCTGGCCGCGCGCCCGGCGTTGCACGGTCGCTGCGCAATCTAGAAATCACGGGCTCCTCGCTGGGCCCCGTCAATCACCCGCGCCCGCGTCGCGCTGCGAGGGCCCGCTGGATCTTCCACGGCACCCCCTCCCTCCGCAGACCCCGACGAAATCGCGGCCTGCGCGGCACGGTAATCACGCGGTACTTTGAAGAATAACTGACTGCACGGCGCGGCGTCGGGCTTCGGGCGCAGCGGGGGCGAAGGCGTCCGACGTGACGCGCAGGCAATTGAGGTGCACCTGCTTCCGCCTCCGAAGCCAATGCCCGACGCTGCTCCGAAGCCCCAGTCGCCCTGTTGACGTCGGGCGGGTGGAAGACAATGGCGCCCCGCAGGCCGACGCCGAGGTATTTCCCGACGACTTCTCCGCGAAGCAGACCCGAATAACCTATCCAAGTCGGGCGTGAAACGTGAATTTGGCGCAAGCCACCTGACGCCCTCTCGCCGCTGGGCTCCAACATTGGGCGACCGGCGACCGGCGGCGACTCCTTGGAGCGCCCGCGCCCGCCAGCGAATAATGCTCACATTTCCCCAAATCTTTCCGAGCGGGAAATTCGCCACCGCGCTCGGCTCCCAGTCCTGCGCCGGGCTCGCCGGCTCGCGAGACGCAACGGGATTCGGCGGCCTTCCATTGGGGGTGTTCCACGCCGGCGAGCTGTGCGTCGCGGACTTTTTTGGCGGGGCCCCTGGCCGCCCTTCTGGCCCCTGTCGGCCCAGCACCGGCCCCCCTTCTAGGTTTCGAACGGGATGGCGTCGAGATCGATCGCTGCGCGGTGCCTCGCGAGCTCGCCGAAGTCAGCGATTTCTCGCGCGTTCATGCCTCCGGCGCACGGCGACGCAGCTGAGAGTGCCCTCCGCAGCTCTCTCGAAGTCTGCGCGGTCGGGCTTCGAGGTCGGCGTTTTCGCGGCCCGCCGCGCCAGGCCGCGTCGGGCCGCCAGCAGGACAGGGGAGAAAGCGCGAGCACCTCAGCGACTGTTCGGCGTCGATGTGCTTGGTCTATATCACGCTCGAGTCGGCGTCGTCGTCTGGCTCGTTCGCGTCGAAACACATGAAGAAGTGCGATCCGAATTCCCTGCAGCTCCTGATCCTCTGGGAACCTACAGAATGCACTTTCAGAAGGACAGCATGCTCATCTCACTGTTCGCCGAATCGAGCGCAAGCTTCGGCGCGAAGTGGGACGAATTCGAGTCGTCGGGCGCGGAACTATTGGAATTGGGGGTCGCGCTCGCTGTCTGAAGCGCCGAAGAGCCTTCGGGCTCACGATCGGACTATCTGCGCGTGCCCACTGCTGCGAATATGCATCGATGTTTTCCGCTTGGCCCAGCTCAGCGAGCTCGGTGCACGGTTCGAAACATTCATGGAGCCCGCGCTGGAGCTCGAGTCGATTGTTGCCCTTCCGAAAGGTCGTTGCCAGATTACCTCGGCCCCACCCCAAGACCTGTCGTTGTATGCTGCGGCGTTGAAATTCTGTACATTCGATAACGATGGGCACCAACAAATAGCACCTGGGATATGGTGCAACCGACGTGCTGAGCACCAGCGGAATGACTGTGCGTCTGTTTTCTTTATGCAAGGCCATCAGCATCAACGCGTGGTCCACCGTGCCCGTAGCTCTGTCGCAGTGGTAGCATGTCGGTCTCGCTGTCTGAGAAGCTGCTCAGACTCATGCGTCCGTAGGGTTGCATCATGCGCTCCCGCATCTGATATCCAACTGCTGCCTGATAATCGAAGTGGTGGTCTCCGAAAGTGTCCGACGCGTTTGCGGCTTAGGCGTTTAAGGTCGGCCGTGCAGCTCGTGCGCCACCTCGACGTCCAAGTCCAGCGTTGAAGACTCCGAGTAACACAAATCGTGTAGATTGAGTGGGCACCTCCTTCGCCTGCAGTGTCGCCCAATGCGCCAGCACCCAGGACTTTTGTTCGAAGGTCCTGCCGCTTGCGAGCACAGTCATCCTTGAGTGGGGAAAGAACAGAAGCACAACGGTCAGGTCGAGGGACCTTGTACGATACGTATTGCCAGTCCTCGTGTTTGTGCTGGTGTTGGTGGTGTTGCAAGTCGTTCAGACCCGTTTCTGCACACGCTTCGTCATCATAAGCGCACACCCCACCGATATGTTAGAGAAAAGGGTCGCAGTCCAACCCGCTGACCGTCCGCACTCCCTTGTCCAAACTGCGCCTTTTGCACGAACGCGCCAGCACATGCTTGGAGACGACAGCCGGCCATTTCGGTGCCAGTTTTCGGTCGGGCGCTCCACTTCCACGAGACAGTGGGCTGTAAACAGTAAGTTTGAAAATTGAGCGCATGGGCCTGCGCGGCCGAAACGCCCCGAAACGCCCGACGCTCGGAGGTCGCGCCTGGGCAAACCAAGGCGAATACATGATGGAAGAGAATGCGGTACAGTGCACGGATGCTGCATGGTGGGGAAGGCTTCCATGCAGTAGCTATAGATAGGAGGGGTAGGGAAGAGGGAGGAGATAAAGTGGATGAGGACGAAAACGGCGAGAAGGTCGGACACGAAGGGGAAAACAGCGGCAAGAGAAGCGGAACAGGCATCGGGAGGGGAGGGGGAAAAGGATGATGGGCGGACAACTGGTAGGTGGGGGAGGGGTATCGTGAGGATGATGATGATGATGATGATGAAGAGGAGGAGGAGGAGGAGGATGAGGGCCAAAGGGGAGGCACCCGAGAGGCACACATCACTGATTACCCGAACAGAAGCGTGGCACGCGTTTCTTGAACTCTCGTTTCCTCGGTCCTGCGAGCCTAAGATACGATCCAAAGGGCCTTCAGGATCGCCTCAAAGTGGACCCAAAGACGCCAAATAAAGTTTCGGGAGGTGCGTGCCCAGGATGGCCCAAGAGGGCTTCAAGAGGGGAACTAAATGAGCCCCACAGGGCCCAAGAGGGCACCACGACAGCACCACAGAGCACCAAGCCGCCCCACAGCAGTCACAAGAGACTCTCAAGGCTGATCAGTGAGGCCCACCAGGGTCCCAAGACGGCACCCTGGATTAGTACGTTGACGGTCAGATAAACGTTCTATCTCTTTTTCCTTGGAACACAGAGATACATCTACAACACTGCGCTGGTAATTCGCGCCGTGCCCTTTGGTCTTTTTAAGTGTATATGCGCGTCTACAGAAAAGGACAGGTACATACATCAAACTAGCAATTTCTCCTCATCGTCGTACTCGTCCTCGTCGTTGCAATACTGGTCTCCCTTCTCCGTCCCTCATACTTCCTCTTCCACTCCATCGTTTCCGCCCTTCGCTGCAAACCCTTCCCCGCTCTCCTTAGCGCTTTTTGTGGAGGCCCCTCCAGGTAGAGCCTCTCAGGGGCCTCACGATAACTCTTGACGAGCTTCTCCGTGGCCGTTGGAAGCCTCCTAGGCGCCTTCCTCGAGCTTTTGGGGACTTCCTCGGGACACCTTGCCTCGAGCCACGTTCTCCCTCAATGAATGGTTCACGATTTGACGTGTTTCGGGGGCGTGTTGAAGCCATCTTGGGCCGTCATGGAGCTCCCTTCGAGTCCTGTTTGTCACTGTTGTGGGCCGTCTAGGAGCTCTCTCGGACTGTATGAAAGCCCGCTTGGGTTGTTTTGGGACAGCGACTTTCGGGGCTTCTTCACGGTCTCGGACGCCCAGGAGACTGCAGAGCCAGGTATCCAAACACCGTGCAATGACCACCGTGCACTTACCCTGGCGCAGGACCCAAGCATATGCAATTGTGGGCAACACAATGCTCAGCATTATGTTGTTCCAGTCCTACTGAAAGACCACAGCCCAGAAATAATTTCGAGCACCCAGAAAAGTGTCGAACGAGTGCCGAAACAGTGTCGGGCGAGCGTCTCCCCGGGCCCGACACGTGAAAACCCCGGAGTTTCGGTACTTTTTGTGGCCGGTCGAAATACTTCCTGGTCATCAAGGCTAAAGTAGGTTGGAGCATCATAAGCTGAGTAGTTCTCGTCGTCGGTGGCGTGTGGTCTGGCGCCACGAAGCGTGCGAGAGGGCTCTGCCGCCAGTGGGCGGTGAGCCGCAAGCGGGCTGGGGCCTCCCGTGGAGCTCCCTTTGGGGCCAGGGTTCTGTCGGGCGTGTCCCCCCACAGGGGGATTTTTGACGAAAAATCAGAACATATACCAAAAAAACACCAAAAAGGCAAAAACAAAAAAAAAAGCCCCCAGGCTATTTTTGGATTATTTGTGGACTATGTTTGTAGTTTTTTATTTTCCGTCGAAAATCCTTCCATAGGGGGACAGGCCCGACTCAACACTGGGGCCTTCGGTGGAGCTCCCTATGGGGCCATGAAGCGTGCGAGGCGTGTGCCAGACTGGGCGGGGAGCCGCATGCGGACCCTGCCACTGGGGCTTCGGTGGAGCCCTAGGGGCCTCCAAATCAAGGCCCCGTAGACCCGGACACGCTAGACCCGGACACCCAACATCCCTCGAAACCAACTTTTCCAAACGGCGGCACGGACAAAATACTGCACTGCAACATTTCCAGAATAAACCCGGACACAGGCCCCAAAAGCCTGCAAGAACCCCCCTAAACCCGGACACAAACCCGAATCCTGCAAAGCAGCAAACAAACCATGCACGGGTGCTCAAAAACGTGACCTTGCAAGAAAGGATGTCGTTTCCTTGGTTTTCTGTGTCCTGGTTTATCTGTGTCCTGGTCTCCGGGGGCCTGACCAAAACGTGCGAGGGGTGTGCCGGAACAGAGGCATGCGGAGGGCAGATGTGGGAATTGGGGGAGGGAGGAGCCAGCGGGAGGAGGGGGCACTGTGAGGGAAAGAAAAAGACGCGGGGCGCCGTCCCGTCCAAACGAGCACCCAACACCTCAGGAAGGTTGGGAAAAACCATTGGGGATCGGTGTGCGTTGAGGCCCAAACCTGGTGGGCGCAAGCCTGGAGAATAACGGCCACGGCGCCCTCTCGAGAACCGAAAACGGACAATTCACTAATCGACGTGTCACTGTTGGGGGTTCTGTCCACCCCCGATATAGGCGAGCCAGGACGCTTCGCCATTGCTTGGCGCCAGGTCACCCACCGAGACCACCCGCCCGAGCCGTTCGGCCACCCAGCCGACCGGCCGCATCTCGGCCTGGCGGGAGCCTCCGGGAGGCCGCCGAGGTCTGGGGGGCCCCCTCTGCAAGGGGGACCACGTCACCCCCCCAGGTAACCAGCCTCGAACGTATCCCTATCCCTAAGATGGGCGAGCAAAGAGCGAGGACAATCTTAGGGATAAGCCCTCAGAAACTGAGGGAATCCTTAAGATCGGCATCGAGGTGAGGTGATGTCAAACATAGGGATAGGGATATGTTCCAGGCTGGTAACCAAGGGCCTGGAGAGCCCCTCTGCCTGGGAATGTCGCGCTGGGCTGGAGCGGTTCGTGAAGCAGTGGCCATCCTTGGAGCTATCATGGGACACGCAGCTTTTGCACACCACCCCCACAACACAAGCTGGCCTGGCCACGAGACCGCGGAAAGGGGGTTGCACGCAACATGGGGACTGCTGCAAGGGCGTCCGAAGGGCTCCTGAGGCCAGAGGTCCTCTGTCTGGGGGGCACGCGTCTCCTGGGCCCCTGTCTTCAACTCGAGAGCACGAGCATGTGACGTCCTGATTTTTTCAGGACGGCGCCCCTGGAAGTGCCGACCCTTTCCCAGGGACCAGCGTTTCACCCGGAGTCGTTTTTTGCCAGTCCCGGGGCCTGGCGAGGGCCCCCGAGGGTCGAAAAAATTGTCTAAAACCTCCCGTCCTGATTTTTGTTACGACGCGAGCATGTCTGGGGTCTGGGCTGGGTAGGATGAAGGGGCCCACAAACACACAAGTAAATGCGCACAAATAATAAGTTTCCCTATATTTTCCCATATTTTCTGGGTTTCTGTCTTTCCCCCCACTTCTCATATTTTCATGTATTTTCTGGGGAATCGAGGATTCATTGTGTCTGTGTGTTTTTTCCTCTCCTGATAGGAGAGGGCGCGCGAGAGGACACGGGGCCCAGGGGCCCCCGTGGCCCCAGGGAGGCTGAGGCAGGCTCGCGCGGCGCAAGCGCGCGCGCAAGGGGTGTTTTGGCCACCGCGCCGAGCGTTCCGCCTCGATAGGGAAACGAGCTCTGTACACTGACGCTTCTGAAGGGGCCCTGGGACACACACATAAATACACACACAAATAAAACAAAACACATATTTTCACATATTTTCTGAGTTTTTGTCTTCCCCCCCACTGCCCATCTTTTCCCATATTTTCTTTTCCTCCTGAGCTTCTCCCGACCCTGCGCTGAAAGTCGCACAGTAGCGCGGATCCTGGAGTATGCGGGATCCTGGTGCACAAATTGTTCTTGGTTTCCCTTGAAAAGTGGGGGAAAACTGTGCACCACACCACCCCGACGTCGTCCCGAACCCTGAAAAAGTCGTGGGATTGAAAAACAGCCCGCCACTGGTAATGTAGATGTTCCAGTTTGCGACTTGAATCGACCGCGGCCCCGATGGTTCAAGGTTGAGCTCCGTCGGGTCCAGAAGCTTTACCGTGTCCATCGGTGCTTCCGCGTCGCGGAATTCGGTCCTGAACGCCTTCGCCGGCGTCGCTGGCGCGCCGACGTCGCGCGAACCTACCGCGCAGTCGTGCCCTGGGCCAGAAGAACGTCCTTCAAGAACACGAGACCCTCCGCTGACCGAAACACACAGATCATTCGAGGGTACTCCAGATTTCGTAATAAAAGGGAGGGGGTCTGGACCCTCCAAGACAAGCCATTTCAGACCTCCCCCGTGGGAGAACCCTCCAAAACATCGTCCCCAGACCCCCCCAGGCCCTCCAAGATAGCCTGGAAGAGACCCCCCCCCGAAATGAGACCCCCCTCCCTTTATTACGAAATCTGGAGTACCTTCCAACAGTATGCGCAAGATCATCAAGCAGACGAAGAAAACACTAGGGTACTGCCGACCTCGACCTCATACCTCGGCCTGATCGTACCGTCGACCCCCAGAGGTCTAGACAACTTCCCCTTGACCAGTTCTTCATCCTGCGTAGTTTGTGTTGTGGCCCCGAGGCCTGGTAGCGACACGCTCTCCGTCGTGATTTGTCCACGACTCGAAGGTGTCTCGGGCTTTCTGCACCCGTCCATCGACCTGCTCATCGAAATTGGCAGCACATGGAGCTCTCCCGCGCTGCGCAGGATTCGGCTACACGCAAGAGTGACCCTGGGTAAGAGTGACCTCTGCTGCGCGGCTTTTGGGGGGCCGCGTGGGGGCCAAACCTGGGCGCGCAAGCCGCTGCTCCTGCTTCGCTTCCAGCCATCTGGGGACCCCTCTGTGCCCGCACCAGAGGTCACTCCGGCAAAAGGTCACTCTTACGTCTCGTCGAAGGCTGGCCATCGCTCGGACGTCCATTCCCTGTGTTTTTGTATCGACTTCGCGCGTGTTTTTTTTCCTCGCCACCTGATCAAGCAGGCTCCTCGATGGTCCTCGCGCCGAAGGAAAAATGCACACGTCCGAGCGATGCCAAGAAGGTTTGGAGTCCCGAAACGGTGCGGCGACAGTCCGTGCGGTGACTTCGAAATCCCCCGTGACCTCACCGCACGCTCCGCCACCGCACGGTCTTGGGACCCTGGATGCCCCCGTCGCCCGATACATCCTCGGAGAACGACTCGAGTCCCAAAACCGTGCGGTGAGCCCGAATCCCCACCGACTCGCCGCACGGTGTGATCACCGCCCCGTTCGGGGGCCCCCGAGAGGCATCGGGGCCCGAGCGCGCGGCCCCCCGGCGGCCGGGCCCCCGCCTATGGTGAAGAAGATCGGCGTGAGCCTCTCGCCTCGCGGCGGGGGCCCCACGGGGAGGCGCGCGCGCTGGCCCGCCCTCGGGCGGCCTCGGGCGCCGCGCGCCCGAGGCGCCGGCGGCGCGGAGGCGGGGGCCCCCTGCGGGATATAGGGTCCCGAGGGATGGGGTCCTGTGGGGTCGGGGTTCGATCGAGGGATGGGGTCCCGAGGGATGGGGTCCCGAGGGATGGCAGCCTGCCCTGCTGCGTGTTCTGGGGGGCCTCCAGGGCGGCCCAGCGTGACCTGCAGGGAGGATCGAGCGGGAGCTGTTGTCGTCACAGCTGGGCTTTCACCACCTATCGGGCCGGACGAAAGGGGGGATAGCAAAGGGGGGGGGTGAGAATCAGCGCACGTGGCTGATTTTCCCGGCGCCTCCCGGCGCCGGAGGCGGCTGTGTATCGAGGAATGGGCCCCTCGGTGGGGCCGAAACCAGCTGCATGCAGCAAATTTCGTACCCGCCCCTTTCCCAATCCCCCCCTTTCGTCCGGCCCGATCCTGAGGGCGAGGGGTCTCACTCCTAAGATCAGGTCGGGCGTGTCCTCCCACAGTCGGCCTCGATTGGACAGGACACGCGAGAGGACACAAGGCCCTTCCGAGGGCCACGTTTCCACAGGAATGCAGGAGGCATGGGTCGCGAGACACAGGACACGAGGGTAGCCTTGATCTGGCAGGGTCGGCCTACTAATCTGGGCCGACTGTACGGGCGGAGTTTGGACGAGATCTAAAGCGTCGACAACACAGAATCAACGAATGCGCAAACATACTATATATATATATAACAAATCGCGCCCATAAGACTATAATTTTTGGCTGTTCTGGAATACTCCTCCTGTAGAGGGGCAGGCCCGACTTACTCACGAGGCGAAGCCAGCAAAGCAAATGCGCAAAAATACCACTTAAACAATCGCCCCCATCATACTATAGTTTGGCTGTTCTGGAATACTCCTCCTGTAGAGGGGCAGGCCCGACTTACACGTCGGTCGGAAGAAGTAGGTAGAAACATGAAAATAGGCAGGCGGATAGAGTGGATTGGGTCCAGGCCCCCCCAGAGAGCAACAGAACACGGCAACAGCAAGCCGACTCTTGAAGTAGGAAGACGCCTGAAACAGATTCAAGGGGCCCAAGGACACACAAATAGATACACCCAAATAAAAAGATTCCCCATATTTTCCTATATTTTCAGAGTCTTTGTCTTCCCACACCCAATTCCAAGATTTTTCAATTTTTTTCTGGGGGAGCGACGATGAATTGTGTCTGTGTGTGTTTTCCCCCCCTGATAGATTGGGATCTGGGAGTCCAAGACCTACACCCTGCGAAATGCTCAAGAAATCATGGGTTAAGAAATTCACAGTCTCAGAACTTGAATAAAAACACCAAAATCCCATTCGAATCTTAGGATTTACATTGAAACATTAAGAATAATCGAAACCAAAAATTGTAAATTTAAGCTTTCTTAAACATCGCCTAAGGTGTACTTTCAACGACCAGCGTGCACTCGCGAGGCGAAGCGCCAGCACGGCGCCCGACGGCGCGGCGGCCGCGGCGCCCCCCCGCCGCGGCGCGGCGGCCCGAGGCCGGCGCGGCAGCCCCGCGCCTGTCTGGGTGTCCACGGCCTCGAGGCTGCCGCCCTCGCGGCCGCCCGCTTCCACGTCTCGGTCCCCGCCGCCGCCGCTGCCGCCGCCGTGGCCGTCGTCGCCGCCGTCGTCGCCGTCTTTAGGAGGCAGCTGCTGGAAGGTTCTCGTCGGGGAGACGGAGGAGGACTCGGCCCCATTCGGGAGCCGTTACGCCGGGCTGGGCCTCGGATTGAGGAGGGTCAAGCCGGATTAAGCGGGATCAAGCGGGATGGAGCCGGACTTCGGGCCAGTGCAAACTCAGAATTTGACCTCCCAGGAGTTGCATCCCAAGCCGTCGTCGCCACATCCGCAAGAAGAAGCCTGGACGAGGACGAGCTCGTGTTCGGATGCATCGGGGATCTCTGAGAGCCGGCGGCTGTGGAGGACGTCCCGGGCGCCGCGGCCTTCTCAGAGCGTTCGGGAACGCTCTGAGAGCGTTCCGGAACACTCTCGATCGGACTTGTCGTCGTCCTAGCCTCGTCCGACTTCGCCACCATCGTCGCCGTTGCCGCCACCGCCACCACCGCCGCGTTCGCCAAGTTCGTCGCCGCCGCTTTTTCCGTCGCCGTCCCCATCGTCGCCGTCGTCGGAGGATCGAGAATCGTACTACTTGGGTCTGGCAGCCCTCCCGGACTGCAAGCTGGCTGTCCCTGGAGACAACATATCGGAGATCGAGATGGGTCGCTGCAACCTCAACGGCCCACCGATGATGACGGCCATCCATCAGCGACACAATTCGAGGAGTCGGCGGGTAGTCCTTCCACAGAGTCTTCGCCATGTCAACGTAAGCATTAAACACACTATGAGCGGCCCGACGTGTTCGAACGAACGCACAAACGACCCGTCTCATGTCAGGCCATGGTCGGGACGCTAGTGCCGCTGATCTGTGACGTGCGTACTACTTTCGGACAGCAAGCCCTCCTCAACTGCTGGCAACTGGCTCGTGGCGTTGTGAAATCGTGTGCATGGAATTGAGCAATGGCTTTCGCAAGCAAATTTGCATCATTGGCGATCACATTATAATACAGAACTGAGCAAGCAAAGATGATCCGTCCATGAGTATTCGTGGAAACGTTCGATCGAAAACGTGAATCATGCCGACCCCCCCCCGCGTACACACATATACACGCGCAAACACACAGACACACACACACACAGAGACACACACACACACACACACGCGCACGCACACGCACACACGCACACACGCGCGCACACACACATTATTTTTTCGTCGGTGGCGACGCGGGACACTCCGCTCCAGCGTGGCAGCGCTGCAGGGACACTACAAAGCGAAGTGGCCGGCATGCAGGAGAAAGAAAAGGAAGGGCAAGGCGGCCGCGGGGGGGGGAGAGGAGGGCGAGCACTCAAAGGAGGAAGACTTCCGCCATGAGTAGCTGGAGCGGCCCGCGGGCGGCGGGGACGGCGTCCGGGGGGCCCGAGCCCCAGCCAGGCAGACCTCGTCAGCGGGCGCCATGCGCCAGGCAAGGGGAAAACAGTGTACGCGTCCATGGAGGGCCTGAGCAAAATGCTTCTGAGGTGTACTTCAGCTGGACCCACGACGCCGCACGCACTGGCGTGGGGGCTGGCGGACGGCGCGTCCGGGCGTCCTGTGGGGCAGGGGGGCGCGGCGGCAGCGGGCAGGAGCCGCGGCTCCGTAGCATGTGCGCTGTGATGGTCGTCCCCGCGACTGTCCACCACGCCATGCTCGAAACTGTGGAAGCCGACCCGGTCCAGATTCAGTTCCGGCCCTCGTGTACTCCAGATTTCGTAATAAAGGGAGGAGGGGGGTCTCATTTCGGGTGGGGTCTCTTCCAGGCCATCTTGGAGGGCCTGGGGGGGTCTGGGGACGATGTTTGGGAGGGTTCTCCCACGGGGGGGGGGGGTCTGAAATGGCCTGTCTTGGAGGGTCCAGACCCCCTCCCTTTCATTACGAAATCCGGAGTACACCCCGCGAAATGCTTAAGAAATCATGGGTTAAGAAATTCACAGTTTCAGAACTTGAACAAAAACCCAACATTTCTGTTAAAATCTTGAGATTTACATTGAAACGTTAAGAATAATCGAGACTCTGGCCGAAAACTTAGGTTTTCTTAAGCATCGCCTAAGGTGTGCTGTGAGGGCACGCCCCGCGACTCTCCACGACGCCGTGAGCTTCCACCTCGTCTGGCCGAGTCGGCCCACAGGCGGCGCCAACGCCGGCCGCAGGGAGGGGGCGGAGGAGAGTGGGCGAGGGAGGGAGGAGGAGGAGGAGGAGGAGGAGAAGGAGAAGGAGGAGGAGGAGGAGGAGGAGGAGGAGGAGGAGGAGGAGGAGGAGGAGGGAGGAGGAGGAGGAGGAGGAGGAGGAGGAGGAGGAGGAGGAGGAGGAGGGAGGAGGAGGAGGAGGAGGAGGAGGAGGAGGAGGAGGAGGAGGAAGCACGGACCCACGGCGGGCCATCTGCCCGGAAGCGCGAGGGCCCACGAGGCGACCGGAGCTGCCAGGCCCAGGAGTGGGGGCGCGGCCGGGTTCCGCGGTGGACAAACCTCCCTTTCGTAGACCGCCCCTCAGTTGAAACCTGCCGGGGACCGAAACCGACGGACCTGGACCCGCAAAAATGACGGCCGCGACGCCCTCTCGCGAACCGAAAACGGCCAGTTCCTTTACCGACGTGTCAGGGTAGGAGGCCTATCCACCATCGACAGGTAGCCGAGGGCGCGGAGTGGGGGCGGGCACGGGCGGGCGCACGGGGGCTCCAACTGCCGCCCTGCACGGGCGCGGGCGGCGGGGAGGGCAACTTGCAGGACCGACAGAGCCGGCGGCCGCACTGCGACGAGGCACAGATCCGGCGGGCGCGCAGCGCGCAGCGTGGGGCTGGGCACGGGTGGGCGCAGGGGGGCGCCAACAGCCGCGCCGCACCGGCACGGGCGACGGCGTCGGCAACACCGCAGGACCGCCAGAGGCGACCGAGGGTGCCTGGCCCCAGGGCGGCCGCTCCACAACAGGCGGAGCGGGCCAGGTGGCCGAGGGCGCGGATGACGGGCGAGCAGAGGCGGGCGCGGGGGCGCCGGCGGCCGCACCGCGCTGGGGCGCAGGCGGCGGGGCAGAGGGCGCAGCCGAGGGGGGGCGCGGCGGGAGGGCCGCGCCACGGGGGCACTGGAGTGGCGCAGCAGGCCGGGGAGCTCAAGAGTCGCGCGCCCTGCCCCGACGCCAGTGGCGGCGAGCCAGAGGGGCTGCGCACGGGTGGCGGAGGGGAGGGGAGAGAGGCCACGCGCCGCCCCGGCGGGCAGCGCGTGGCGGCCAGCGGGCTGCAGCCGCGCTGGCGGGGAGCCCAGGGAGAGGCACGGGGATGGTGCAGCGAGCGGGTGGCCAGAGCCACACGCCGCCCCGACGGCCAGCACGCAGCGGCCGCGGACGTCGGGAGCGGTAGCGGCGGGGCGGGCCGGGGGAGGAGGCGGCAGCGGGATGCAGCGGCAAGCTGCACAGGAGAGGGCTGCACAGGGGGAGAGCGGCAGAGCCGCGTGGGGGAAGGAGAAGCCGAGGGCCGCCGCTGGGGCAGCGGGCGGCGGCCAGCGGGCGCCGGAGGCAGCCGTGCAGGCGGGACACCAGGAAAGCACCAGACTGGTGCAGCGTGCGGATGAGGAAGTGCGGCGCGCCGCCCCGAAGGACAGCACACGCCGCGGAGGAGGGCAGGGTGTGACCAAGGCCAGGGGGTCAGGATGACCCGAGCAGCTGGGCGGCGTGAACGGAGGTAGCCGCCAGGGCGGGTGCACCCAAGGGGGAAGCAAAGCACTGGCTCTCAGGGGCACTCTTCGGACATCGTGCAGCGGGCGCTGCCCGCTGCACACGCACACACACAACACACAACACGCACGCACAACACACACAGAGCACACACAGCACACATACAACGCACCACACACACCAAACACACCACACGCACCACACACACACACCACACACACCACACACAACACAACACACAACACACACAATACACACAGCACACGCAACACGCACAACACACAACACACACAACACACACAACACACAACACACAACACACAACACACACATAACACACAACCCACAACACAACACACAACACACAACACACACACAACACACACAACACACACCACACACAACATACACAACACACACACACAACACGCAGCACACACAACACACAACACACAACACACACAGCACACAACACACACAACACACAACACACAACACACATAACACACACAACACACACCACGCACAACACACATAACATACAACACACAACACACACAACACACACACACACCACACAACACACGCAACACACAACACACACAACACACGCAACACACACAACACACAACACACAACACACACACACAACACACACACAACACACAACACACACACAACACACGCAATACGCACAATACGCACAACGCACAACACGCACAACACGCACAACACACAACACACAACACACATCAACACATTCACACACACACACACACGCATTCACACACACGCACACGCACAACAAACACACAGACACATGCTTGCGCAGAGACGCAATCTGATTATTCCCCGCCTTCTCCTGAGGCTCCTACCCGACCGGCCTCGCATAACTGCAGTCTCTTGAGGGCGTCCTCAAGCCTGGGGAGGCGGCTGCAAAGAGCTTGGCCACGGAGCTCCTTCCTCCCTCTGCCCCTGCACCTCCTGTGAGACAGAGGCAGGATGAAGACAACGTGAAGCAACGTTGACCTCAAACCGAGTCCAGCGTATGCGGTGAAATCAACACGGTGGGGATATACGCGGTGCGATGTATGTGTGGTTGGTCGGCGTGGCGCAACTGTTGCAGCGCAGCGCGTGAAGCATTCGCCGATCTGATGGCCATCGCTGAAGGCGGCCACGGGCGGCCCCCAGCCGGGAACCACGGCAGAGGTACAGTCGGACTCGATTGGAGAGGACGCGCGAGAGGACACGAGACCCTTCCGAGAGCCCCGTTGCCACAGAAATGCAGGAGGCATGGGCCGCAAGACACAGGGCACGAGGATACCTGGCAGGGTCGACCGACCAATCCGGGCCGCCGGTAAATTACTTCGAAACCAAAGAAGCAGCCCTCAGCGCAAGCACTTCTTCAGGGGAAAGACATGGACTCTACCGACCACCGCGCTTGCCGGGGGTGACAATGCGTGTAAAGCGTGTAGCTTTAGGTCGGGTATGTCCTTCTACAGGCGGATGTCGGACGGAACAACAACATAGTCAAACGATAATCAAACATAGTAAAACGAGTACGAACCAATACTAATTGTTTTTACTATACTAAAGTTAAGCTGTCTCCCTCCCTATCTCCCTCCCCTGGGATCCAAAATGTCGTTTGAGGGCCCCCCCCTCGGGGCCCATGATTTTCGTCAACGCTTCTTCCGAGGCTTCTCAAACCACAGGAGAGCCCCAAGACGGCACAAGAGGGCTCCAAGAGACAAGCATCGTCCCATCCCTTCTGGGAAACCAAAGTGTTTAGCATACTCGCCTCTGTCGTCTTGACAGCGTCCAGGACGACCCACGTGACCCCAAAGATCGTTCCAAGACGGCCCCCCCACCAAGAGGTCCCGAAGATGGCCAAAGGGCAACAAAACGGCCCCAGGGGCCCCCAAGATGGCCCACAGAGCGCCAAGAGGGATGTAAATGTGGCCCAAGAGGGACGAACCAATATTTCAAGCCTTTCCCCTCAACATGGCGCCAAGAGATCCCCAGAGGCCCTCGATGCGCCCCAAACGAACCCACAAGGTCTCCACGAGGCTCGCAAGCAGCTCCCCAGGAGCCCTCCAGAAGCCCCGAAAAGCACCCCAGATGCCCTCAAGAGTCCTCCAAGCGGCCCAGCCTGGGGGGTCGGCGGAATGGCGGAAGCCACTTGAACATTTAAGCCGGCTGGTCCAGAAGGTGCATCGGGCGCAGCGGCCGTTCAAATTAGCTTTGGAATGATCTGAAAGCGCTTCGGCGGGCTCTAGATACGATCCTGTCTTCACCCTCCTCCTCTTCTTCTTCCTCTCTTCCTCGTGCACATCTGCCTCCTGCTCTTCCCTTTTCCGCCGCCTCCTCCTCCTCCTCCTCCTCCCCCATCCGCCTCCTCCTTCTACTCCTGCCCCTCCTCCTCCTCTTCTTCCTCCCCATCCCCCTCCTCCTCCTCAGCCTCCTCCCTTGGAATAAACTTCAAGACTGGGGTGCGCGCAAAACGACCGTGGGGAATGGGTGACCTTGTGGTCCTGGGGGTCTATGCACAGGATGGGCCCAGGGTATGCCTGGCCAGGGCTGGTGGTGGTGTTCTGTTGGCGTCCCTCCCTCCTCCTCCTCCTCGCCCTCCTCCTCTTCTTCTCCCCCTTCTTCTCCTTCTTCTTTCCCTCCTTCTTATTTTGTTACTATTTTTACGAGTCGTCTTCGTAGTATTGATACTTATTCTTCTTCTTCCTCCTCCTCCTCCTTCTCTTCTTCTCCTTATTACTTTTGTCACTATTGTTGTTGCCGCTCTTCTTGATATTATTGTCTCTTCCTCCTCCTCCTCCTCCTCCTTCTCCTCCTCCTCTCCCTCTCTCCCCCTCTCACGCCCCGACGCCCCCGCCCTGGGGGCCCTCGGGGGAAGACGCGGAGGCAGCGGGCGGAGGTCCCCCCCCCCTCGCGGGCGCGCGGGGAGGCCAATCCTCGGGCCAGCCCCCAGGGCGTCAGGAGCGACCCGCGCACGGGCGGGTGCGCGCCCCGCGGCGGGAGGAGGAGGAGGAGGAGGAGGAGGAGGAGGAGGAGGGAGGAGGAGGAGGAGGAGGAGGAGGAGGAGGAGGCAGGAGGAGGAGGAGGAGGAGGAGGGAGGAGGAGGAGGAGGAGAAGGAGGAGGTCGAGGAGGAGGGAGGAGGAGGACGACGACCACCACCACCACCGCCACCACTCGGCACATACTGACCACGGGAAGGCGGATCAAGTAGACTTGGCCCAGGCCCTCGTCAGCGTTTTCTTCTTCGGCGTGTCCACATTGGGCGGAAGTGGGGGGGAAGGAGGGGGTCTGGCTCCGGACCCCTGCTTCGTGCTACTGTTTGCAACACTGCGTCCTATGGGGGAGACTCCACCTGCTCGGAACAGGCGCCAAACACAGCCAGGATCTACTTCATGGGGGGGGAGAGTGGGGGTGCGAGGGCCCGCGCCGATCGGCAAAACAACGAATAAAAAGAAAGATCGCCTCCCAGGGAAGAACAAAACACAGCAGGAGCAGATCGATTCGTGAAGTGGGACGGCGCTTGAAGTAGATTGGGATCTGGGAATCCAGAGACATCTACCTTCAACGATCGGCGTGCACTTGCGTAGCATCCGTTCTCCCAATCGCCCCTTGTCGTCCAAACCGATCCTCCCTCCTCTTGGTACGAGCGGAAGGGGTCCTGAGGAACTGAACGGGCCCTGGGACACACAAATAAATACACACACGCAGATAACAGATAACAGGATTCGCCATATGTTATCATATCTTCTGGGTTGTTGTCTTGCCACCCACTTCCCGTATTTTCCCATATATACTGGGGATCGACAATTAATTGTGTCTGTGTGTTTTTCCCCTCCAGACAATCGCCCGTTGTCGTCCAAACCGATCCTCCCTCCTCTTGGTACGAACGAAAGGGGTCCTGAGGGACACGGGTCCTGGGCCACGAGGGGGGCTTCCCCAGGACCACTGTTCCATTGAAGGGGCCCTGAGACACACGAATCAATACATACAAAGAACAGGGTTCCCAATATTTTCATATATTATCTGGGTTTCTGCCTTCCCCCCCCACGTCCCACATTTTCTCGACTTTCTGGTGAATCGACGATTACTTGTGTCTGTATGTGTTCTCCCCTCCTGACACTGTTTCACCCTCAGCCGTTTCCTTACGGTCCTGGCGCTCGAGAAGGGCTCCCGGAGCCCAGAAACGGCAAAATCGCTGGATGGACCTTTCTAAAGGGAAATTAGGACACACAAATAAATACACACAAATAAAAATAGTCCCCATATTTTCCCATATTTTCTGGGTTTTTGTCTTCCCCCCCAATTCCCATATTTTCCCATATTTTCCTGGGAATCGAGGATGAATTGTGTCTGTGTGTTTTTTCCCTCCTGACTTTCCCCTCAGGACCCCGCCTCCTTCCTGGCGGCTCCCCCCTCCCCGTCTCCCCCTCCCTTCCCTCCCGCCGCCCCCTCGCCGCCGCCCGCTGTCGTGGGGCGGGCCGGGCCCACCAGCCGTAGTCCGACGGCACGTTCCTGTTGCCCGAGGGCCTCTCCCTGGCCGTCCTCCGCGGCGGCGGTCGCGGCAGCGGTCGCGGTAGCCGCGCAGGGCGGCGAGCGGATTGGACGGGGGGGATCCATAACTCGCCGTGGCGGGAGAGGCAGGTCCTGAAGCATAGGGGGCCCCAGGGAGGGTGGACGAGGCATGGCAGGCAGAGGAGGGTAGACGAGGTGGGGGAGGGCAGACGAGGTAGAGGAGGTGGGGTAGGGTAGACGAGGTGGGGGAGGGTGGAAGAGGTGGGGGAGGGTAGACGAGGTAGACGAGGTGGGGGAGGGTAGACGAGGTGGGGGGAGGGTAGGGGGTGGTAGACGAGGCGGGGGGAGGGTAGCTCCTGGGAAGGCGCAGGGTGGACGAGGAAGGGGAGGGTGGGTGAGGCATGGATGCAGGGCGGATGGGCTCCAAAAGTGGTGGTCTTCATGCGGCTCCTTGATGCTCCGGGCGGGCAACTCCCATGTGTCCATTCCTCCGTTGCTGTCTGCATGTGGCGCTTGGGCCTTGGAGCCGAAGGACAAAGCTGACCTCTTCGCAACGACCTTCAGAGAGAAATTCGGCCTCCCAGACGTTCAGATGAACGATTTCTCGGATATCCCCGCGCCCATGGGCCAAGTCATGGCAAATTTCGTTCCTGTTCGACGGCGTGGTGCTCTGCGAGTCCTCCTGCGTCTCCGTGACGATTCCGCAACTGGCCCCGACGCTATACAGCACGCTTGTTGAAGAGATGCGCTGACGAGTTGGCAACTCCACTAGTTTTGCTCGCCCGGCTCATTGGCTCTTTCCCCTCTTCAAGCGAAAATCCCGGTCGAGAGCCAACAGCTACCGTGGCATGCATTCAACTTCCCAGATCAGCAAGGCAATGGACATGATATTCGCTAATATGTTGCTGCCATTTTCGAAGCTACGCAGGCTTATGGACCCCAACAATTCGCTTACCACCGAGGCCACGGCTACCGCGACGCCCTTGCGTATGCAGTTTGCCATTGGGTTTGGGCTGTAGGCAGTGGACGCCGGGTGGCAATTTACTGCTCAGACATGTCCGGCGCCCTCGACAGGGTGCGATCCGCGAAGCTTATTTCGAAGCTCCAGGCAGCAGAACTCTCCGAGAAGCTCGTAAACGTCATAAACGCGTGGCTGGAGCCCCGCACTGCGAGAGTATGCGTCGACGGCGTGTTCTCGGACCCCTTGGTGCTGGAAGATATGATGTTTCAGGGCACGGTCCTTGGTCCGCCTTTCTGGAAGGAATTTTACGCGGATGCCCGTCAGTCGATCAAGAACGCTGGTTTCGAGGATTGCGTTTTTGCAAACGATTTGAATTGTTGGAAGGTCTTCTCGGGCACATCAGTCAATGAAGATATTCTTCAATCGTGCAACACATGTCAATCATCGCTTCACGCGTGGGGGGCTGCCAACCAAGTGATCTTCGAGCCCGAGCAAGAAAACACGCACATCTTAGACAAGCTCCGGCCGCACGGGGAGACCTTCAAGATAGTAGGTGTTGTGTTCGATCCGATGCTGTCGATATTTGACACTGCCCAGAGGCTGTCCACAGAAGCATCATGGAGGTTGAAAGCGTTGCTCCAGACAGGACGTTTCTACACCATCCGGGACATGGTCCGCCTGTACAGGTGCCATGTATTTTCCTGTGTCGAGGGAGCAACCAGCGCGATCTTTCATGCCACAGATACTGTCCTGAAGATGATCGACGATATCCAGATCGAGTTTGTAGATCACGTGTCCTTGACAGATGAGGCAGCTTTCTGCGATCATAATTTGGCTCCTCTGAGTATGAGGCGTGGCATTTCTATCCTCGGCCTTCTCTTTAAGATTTCGCGTGGCAGTGCTCCTCCCGTTGTCTCCTCCTTGTTCCCCCCAGCCAACGGGCATCTCGAGCGGTACGGGTTCAACGCAGACCGGCGCTTCCACAGCAGAGCTCTGATGGACCCCATTGAACCCGGCCACCACCCAATGCTTCAGCGGTCGATTTTCGGCATGGTTGGTTAAAGATCATTTTCCGAAGCATCTAATCGATTGCCGCTCTGTCAAGTCCTTGCAGAGGGCGCATCAAAGGGAAGCCAAAGATGCTGCACCTTCTCGCGCCAGCGCGTGGCCGTTGATGCATTCGGCACGCGGCCGCGCCTAACGGCAGGTATATTGTGGCTCGTTTCGAGGGATGCTCGTAGAAAATTGGCCCTCAAGGAAACAGGTTCCCAAAGTCGGGGAGACGTAAGACCCGGGTACGGGGGACTCGGAAATCCCCGACGAGGTCGTCAAAAAAATGACGAGGCCGAGCCTGCATTTTGACGAGGCCTCCCGCTGCAGACATCCCACGAAACTCCTCCTCGTCAAAATCCGAGGCGCGGTCGTCAAAAAACGGTGGCGAACCCGAGTCCCGGCAAACCCGGGTCTTACGCTCCCCCGACAAAGGTTCTTCGGAATGTGCTGGCTGTCTGGGGCCTTCCCCCGACACCGGGGCGGACAAGAACAGAAGGCTCGGGATGAGGGGCTGCTCGTGGGCAGGAGCCCCGGGGTCCAGGACACGTGTCCCTCGGGCGCTGCTCTCACTGCGGAGTGCCCGCGTGGGGTCGGGCGTGGCTTAGTGGGGGGGTCATAAATGGGGGGGTCAGAAACGGTCCCCTTTCGTGCCCCTTTCGGGCCCCTCTGGAACCCCAGGGGGCTCGTTTAGGTACCGTTTGGGTACCTTTTCGGACCACCCGCGACACCCCCCCATTTATGACCCCTCCATTACGCAACGCCCAAGTGGGGGAGGACGAAAGCGGTGCCGGGGAGAAGAGGACGACAAGGTTAGATGATGGTGGCTAAACATGACCAGACAATAATCACGAGGCTAGAGCAAAGAACGAATGGACGATGAGAAAGGAATGGGTGGGCTGAGGAGACGCGGGGGAAGGACAAGTAGGACAGGAGGGCGTAGGAAGGGAGGGAGGGAAAGACAGGAGTGACAGGACGATGCAGGACAAAGAAAGCATGAATATGGAAATGGGAGGGACGGGATGGGGGAGAACAAACATATCATAGACGGCGGAATGACGAAAAAACAACGAGGGAGACTGAGGAATGAGATCGGATGGTCTGGGTAAGATGGAGCACGAAAAAGAACGGGGGAGAAGATGAGATGGAAAACGATGAGAGGCCAAGGAAAACATCTAATATGCGCCGGGATGAGGAGGAGAGGCCAGGATGGATCAACAGCAAGGACGACGGCGACGATGAAGCGGGACAACATGGGAGCAGGTCGACGAAGATTGCGAAAGATGGTGTGAGGCATGAGATATGCTGGCGAGAGGAAGGAGCTGTCGTGGATCGGGCCCATCGCAGAAGCATGTTCGAAACACCGCCCGTCGGGCTCGGGGTCGGACTCCTGTTCCGACCCGTCTCGCCAGGCCCTCTCTCCCCCGACGGAAAGGGGCGAAAGTGAAAGGACACTGGGACACACAAATGAATACACACAAATGACACGATTCCCCATATGTTCCTATACTTCCCGGGTTCTTGTCGCCCCACCCACGTCCCGAGCTTCCCAGCACGGGCCCCCCATCCCGAGGTCTGGACTCTGGTTTCTCCCCAGGGCCTGCTCGTCCTTCCGAGCCGTTGCCGACGGTCCCGGGGCTCGGCAGAGAGCCCCTGGAGGCCGAAAGTGGCACACTGCCCCTCCTGAGTATCTTTCTGATCGCGACCGCGCCGAAGGCAGTCGGGCGGCGTCCAAGGGCGCAGCATGCGAAGCGGCGGCTTAACTTACGCCCTCCTGAATTTCTCGAGACGTTCGGGGTCTGGGCACGTTCGGGGATGGACAGACCCCCCTTTAGTAACGGAGGCCCAAACCTGGCGGGCGCAAGTCTGGAAAATAACGGCCACGGCGCCCTCCGAGAACCGCAAACGGACAATTCACTAATCGACGTGTCACTGTTGGGGGTTCTGTCCACCCCGACACGTCCCAAAAGAGGGGCTGGCCCAAGGCAGCCCGCCCGCCCCGAAGGGAGGAGAGAGGAGGGAGGAGGGGGAGGAGGAGTAATAATAAGTAGTAGCAATAGTACTAGTAATAGTATGAAGAAGAGGGATACTCATAATAATAATAATAATGATAATAATAATAATACTAATAATAATAATCATAATAATAATAATAATAATAATAATAAGAGCCCCCAAGGAGCCCGCGCGGAGCGCGCAGGGACACCCCCCAGGAAGGCACCAGTGGAGCCCTGGGGCTGCCCCAGAGGATCCAACGAGATCTCCACAGGATGGCCCTGTAGCACCTTGGGGGAAGCTCGGCAACTGTACAGGGCAGTTTGTTGTTTAATCCATGGGATGTTTAAACATATACGATTTTAATACATGATTCATTTATAAATGAATATAGGCATGAACTCATCGTTGTGTTTAATACTACATCCCTGCATGTTTAATACATGATCCGCACGCGGAGCACGTATTAAAAACGGCACTGTAGTTGGAACCATCGCGCTCACGGCAGCCCGAGGATCCAAACGGGGCCCCAGGAGGCAGCCAAGAGGCCACCAGCAGGCCAAGAGATCTTCACAGGCCCTGGCACCAAATGAGCTTCCAGGTTGCACTCAGGAAGCCTCCAATCAGCAACGCAACGTTACGACGTTTCGCTACCACATCGTAGCATGTCTCCGTGCACAACCGAAACAGTGTTCTACCGAGCCTGAATGAGGGAGCTCAGTGAAACCGTCCTGCCTACAATTTCGGCACTGGGCTGGCACGGCGGAGAGGTCAGCGAGGCCTGCTGCAAGCAGCCAGGAAGGAGTCAGAGGAGAAGAGCAGGGACGACGATGAACGTGTGCATACATGTACTGAGTAAACATTCGGTCACACACATGCGTCAGAATGCATATGTCGGGAGAAAAATGAGAGATACTCACATGTATATACATAACAGATAGAACCAAGTACGGGAGTAAGGGAAACTGTATTGTATGCATTTGCGTCAATATCTTGCATTTCATGCTGCAAACGCTGAGGAAGCGGAAAGGACTATTCCACAACGGGAATCAACCGAACGCGAAATATAATATTCTGACAGCGACGAGAGGAAGATGAATACAGAGAGGGGGAGGGAGGGGTCGCATCGTGCACATTGCTTGCGCAGGAAACTGGTTGCCGATAGCCCATGCATAATGAGATACAGCCCCGTGTGGCACTGACACTCATTCACCTGACGGCACTGAAGCGACGCCCCCGATCGCTCGACTCCCCCTCCCTCCTGAACGTACCCCGTCCCCCACTCATCTCGCCATTGCAGTCGTCCTCCCTCCACCCATTCCCCTCCCGCAAGATGAGTATCGTTTGACCGATCCCCATCCCCAGCGGCGTGGCCCGGGCCCCACTGGCCGATTCCCCCCCCTAGATGGGGATATAGGTCGTTCCCTTCGGGTTTCGAGGGGTGTCTACCCGACTGGGGTGGTGGTGATTTGGTGGGGGTCTCGGGGGGGATGGGGGATGGGGATGGGGATCGGACAAACGGTGCCGAGCAGAGGCGCAGAGGGAGCGGGTCCCCTCTGGAGCTTGCCCCTCTCGCGACGCCTCCCCCGCGGGGCGCTCCCCGCGCGAGGGGCGCTCGGGCCCCGAGCAGGCCGCGGAAGGGGGACGAGGAGGCATGATCGTGAGGCGCTCCGGGGAAGCTGCACGGTGCCGCTGCTGTCAAAAACCCTCATAAGGGCGCGCGGTAGGGACGCAAGACCCTCGGAAGCCAAAGCTGGGATCTCTGCGGCGGCGAAGGAGGCCAAGGACGAGCCGCAAGAGCAAGGAAGAGCAGGGACGCCAGGGTATACCCTGAGCAAAGTCGCGCGTCCTTATTGGGGTTTTTGACTGTACTGCTGCTCCCTGGGCCTCTCCCGGGGTGCGTTCTGAGCAAGCTCGAGGAGAGTCCAGCGGTGGCGACGAGGGCCTCCGAGGAGGCCCCCAAAGGGGGAGAGCAGGTGGGAAGGGTACAGGTATGGATACCTTTTCCTCCTCTGGCCTCGAGTGTGGCTCCGCTTCGCCTCCCAGTCGGTCCAGGGGGGGAGGGGGACCCCGTGGCGAGGGCGGCATCATCCTTGGAGGCGTCCTTGCCCCTCCCGTGCGTCCGCGTCCCTCCTGTCGTTCATGCTTGCTGCTCGCCATCCGTTTGAAATTCGCTGTGGTCGCCCACGGTCGCTGCTCCCGCCCGCGGACTGCCCACCGTTCGCTGTCTGACGATCATGCCTGTGCGTTGTCCGCCCGTTTGCTCCGTGAACAAGCGCGGCAGGCGAAGTCTGCCTGCAGGTTCTCCCAGGGTCACTGCTTGAGCAGAGGGGGCTGCGACTTTGTGACTCCTGCAGGGTGCGACGACGACGGAGGAGAAGGGAGGTGAAGGCAAAGGAAGGAGGCGGAGGAGCGTAAACTCTGGAACAGGAAGAGGAGCATCGTGGACGAAGAAGCTGCAGAGGAAGAGAACGACGAGGAGGGCGACTGAAGACGAGGAGAGTGAGCTTGGCAGCAGCACCCCGCTCTGCTCTGGTCGCAATCCTCTATTCACTGCCGTGCCCCATACAATCCCTACGAGATCAAAGCTACTGGGCGCACCCGCGTTCAAGAACAGGCAGAGCTCCGAGCCCAGACTGGATCTTGAGATCTAGTCCAAAAAGTGATGGAGGGAGCAGCACAGCGGTTCAAGAGTGGTCGTGGTTTTCGAGGATAACTCGAGTAGGAGATCGATATCAGTTTTCTCGAGGCTGTATATTCATGCTTTTGAAGGTGCTGAATCTGCTGCAAACAAAAACTGCGTAGCTGCTCTCAATCTCGAGGTCAATTCTGCCAACCGAACCGAACGCACGCAACAAAAAGGTTCCAAGGCCAATTATCGCCACGATAGATATTGTTTTACAGACGCGGTCGAATCGAGCTGACATCGTCTTTCCACGATCGGCGAAAATATGCGTATCCGCGCCCTCGCGGTCTGGAATCCTGTGCACGATCCCACGGACACGCGGTCGTAAGGATGCGTTCCAGGTGGGGCATCCAGAAAACGGCCCGTGCCCAAGGATCACAGCCCAGGGGCCCCGGCCGCGAGGCCGCGGATACGGATACGGCTTCCGCCCCCGGTCCCTATCTCCCTCATCATTAACTCCGGCATGCGGGAAAACGGTCCTGACGAAAGCGGGTCCTGGAATCCAGGCCTTTCCTGAAGACAGGTGGTGCATGCCCGGGCACTTTCTGACAGCACCGAGGCCTGAAGGGCCCGGTGCCGTCAGAAGGAGGAGGCGGAGGAGGAGGAGGAGGAGGACGGGGAAGAGGAGGAGGAGGAGGAGGAAGAGGAGGAGGACGAGGGCCCTCCATGGAGGGCCCCGAATGGCCCGAAAACGGCCAACAACTTCACAGCCACATCCTCGAGGAAGGGGGGGCAGCAGCACGCGCCCCCCGCGCGCCGGAGGAGCGGGCTCGAGGGTGCGGGAGGAGGTCCGTCCCGCCACGGCCTCGCTCGCGCGCGCAGGGGAACCGCTGGAAATACGATGAGAAAAGAGAGGACAAGGAAGAAGAGGAGGAGACGCGGAAGAAGAGGAGGGCGAAGAGGACAAGTGTAAAAGACCCATCAACGATATTGCAACACGCCGTCCCTCCAGGCTCACAGTTCACAGGCCCCTTATACAAAGCTTCGATTCACTGAGGGAAATGCCCCGTTGCAACATACATGTTTGAAAATGTCAAACTGCACCAGAACACAATTCATCGGACTTCAACGCCTCGATTCATCACTGCTGAGGCGTCTTGACGATCTTGAACCGCGCCACAACGCAAATCCTGGGACCTCAACTCAGCGGATCAACGTGACGGCTGCGCCCCGACAGTCCCATATCGTACAAAACACAAGTTCTGGGACGTCATCCGCGACAATCTTTCAGAATGAGCGCGGCGCTGAAGCGAAAACCACATTTTGAACAGGAATCGCCCTCCATCCGTGAAGCGGTTGCAAACTTATAAAACGAATGTGCGCGGCGTTGTGGCGAGAGCCGCATGATCAAAACGAACCGCCCTCCATCCATGAAGGTGGTGCAAATTTGTTTAGAAAGTACGCGAAGCGCTAAAGCCAAATCTACATGTTGAAAACGGCCCGCCCTCCATCCGTGAAAGCGCTTCGAACTTTTAAGACGAATGCGCGCGGCTCCAAAACGATAACCAATGTTTGAAAACCACCAGCCTTCCATCCGTGAGACGGATGCAACATGTTGAAACGAATGTGCGCGGCGGTAAAGCGAAAACCACATACAAAAAACACACCCGCCCTCCATCCTTGAAACTGCTGCAAATTCTCAGCTTTATGACCATTCATTGTGCAAAAAATCGCCAGCGAAACACCTGGCGCGCTGGCGCGCCCTTTCGACAAGCCTCGGGGTGCGACGGGTAAGAAAAAGGAATGTATGTCATGGGGGAGAGGATGAGGAGGACGAGGAGGACGAGGAGGAAGACGAGGAGGAGAGAGGGTGAAGAACGAAAACAATGTGTTCGAAGAATACGGCTGGCCTGTGGCTGCCATCGCCCTTTAGCGGGACCGTGCCTCCGCCACCAACCTGAAAATGGCACGGTCAACTGTTCGACCCTCCGTGGGTTTGGGGGGGGGTCCGATCGTGCCTTGACGATGCTTCTATCGAGATCCACCTCTGAAGGGGAACACGGGTGGGGGTGAAAAAGAGGAAGCCTTTCACGGTACAACCAGGAATCCCCTAGGAGAAGCCATGACCAAATTGACAAATTGGATCGGCAATCGAAATGAATCGGATCGGCGGGAATCGGCAGCCAAGTCAAGTAATGTCAAACTGGCGGATATCGGCACGCTAATAGAGCCTCCGTTGAGAAACCGGGGCCCGAATCGGAGTCGATCGAAATCGAATCGAATCGCAAAAACTGAAAATACCCCTGTCACCAGCGGGGCCACCAGAGGTTTGCGACGCGCGCGCTGAACGGTCGTGGCGCCGCGCGGCGGCGCCGAACGCTTCGAGAGGCGGTGCCTGCGTCAAGCGAGGGCAACCCAAGGAGCCAGATGCGGTCGTGGAGACCTTGAACTCGTCCGCGGTCTGCTCGCCCACTGGGGGGGGGGGATTCGTGCCCTGTGGGGATCAGACAGTGCGTGCGCGTGAATCGGGGATCTTCTGGCCCGGGTCAGTCCAGACCCGGGTCAGCAGGAGACTAAAAAACTGCAACGCAGGAAACAAAAAACTGCAACGCAGGTCTTCGCAAACCCGGGTCAGCCAATGTGCGCGGCCGCCACGAGCGGCTCGCTGACCCTGGTCAGCCAGAGGGGGTCTTCGCAGGATCCTGCAACATCTGGTGCCCTGTCTAACCCCTGCTTGCACTGACCCCCGTCTCCCAGGCCCCGAAAAAATGCCGCACGCGGGGTGCCGGGTGCCGCGGCCAGGCCGGGACCCCCGTCTCCCAGGCCCCGAAAAAATGCCGCATGCGGGGTGCCGGGTGCCGCGGCCAGGCCGGGACCCCCGTCTCCTAGGCCCCGAAAAAATGCCGCACGCGGGGTGCCGGGTGCCGCGGCCAGGCCGGGACCCCCGTCTCCTATCGGGTCGGGCGAAAGGGGGGGATAGCAAAGGGGGGGGGTGAGAATCAGCTCACGTAGCTGATTTTCCCGGCGCCTCCCGGCGCCGGAGGCGGCCATGTATCGAGGAATGGGCCCCTCAGTGGGGCCGAAACCAGCTGCATGCAGCAGATTTCGTAACCCCCCCTTTCCCAGTCCCCCCCTTTCGCCCGGCCCGACAGGCCGGGCTCGCTGGGCCCTTCTTGGTTGGCGTGGTCGGAGGGGCGACGCCGGACGGCCGGACGCGCACCCCCCGGCCCCGAGGCCGGCGAGCGACGTACGGCGCCGAGGCGCCTCGGCATCGCCAGCGGTTGCAACTCACAAGTGCCTCCAACAATCAAGGGGCCCCAGGACACGCAAATAATAGGGGGGAAACAAACCTACCTCGCTTTTGACCACCCTCGCTTCCAAGAGATACCAAACGATGCCAAATTGCAGCCTGTACTGGTCAGGCCGCTTGACGAGGAGGCGCATAGTATGGCTTGGTTTTGCCTGGAAGCGAAAGCGGGGTAGGTAATTCACGCTCTGGAATAAATACACACAAATAAAACTATTCCCCGTATTTCCCAAGGCTTCCTGGGTTTTTTCTCTCCCATCCCCCACTTCCCATATTTTCCTATATTTTCCTGGGAATCGACGATCAATTGTGTCTGTGTTTGTTTTTCCCCCTCCTCCAACAAGCGTTTTCGCAGCCACTCTGGGCAACGCGTGCAGCCAGCCGGTTCCCAGAGGGAGGATGGTGCCTGGCGACGCCTGCCGGTCGCGCTTGCGCTCCCTTCCTGTATCTGCTCCGAGCAGCACGGGCGGCACCTTTCGCTTGCGACGACCTAGTTAGAAGGTGAATGATGAATCGAAGATCGTATAGGGGCGATAGCAAAAGGGGGAGAACAATACGCTCGGTGTTTGAACCTCCGCTGAGGCGAAAACCAGGAGAAGAGATGGTAGGATCGAGATACATCGGAAATCCATGACAGCTGGCCGATTAGCAAAATGCACCGGGAACCGCGGGCGTTCCAGAGTGCTTTTGGACGCACTTGACCCAAATCTCATTGCCCCAGGCCTGCCGAGATTTCGAGCAACAGAAAAAGCCTCCGGCACCAGACCGAGGGAAACGAGGGAACGGGGGCAGCCGGCCAAATGCGGGACCCGCCGTCCTTCCCGTGTCGCTCCTCCCTCCTCCCTCCACCTTGCCTCCCTGTTCTTCCTCCTCCTCCTCCTCAACTTTTCCTCCTCCTCCTCCTGCTCCTCGTCCTCCTCTTTCTCCTGCTCCTCCTCATCATCATCAACATCCCCCCTGTATTGCTTAACAGGCCATCGCCGTCACGCGCCAAACGTCGGTAGGGCACTCCGGGCGGTTCGCTAGATATCTCCTCGCAGTCTAAACTCACAAAGCGTGGCAGTGCCAACAGCTGGCCGAATGGCCGCCGGGTCGTCGGCTGAATAAGGCTCCAACCCGAGCGCCGCGAAACTTGCATGCGATCCTGAACTCGTGCCGTTCCAGGCAAGCCCTTACCGCCCCCCTCCCCCTTATCATCTGCAGCAACTACTATGCGCGCGCACTCGTGTATGACACATCCGCAATGTTCAGGACGACCTTGCAAAAATGAAACGACATGTATGTGCACCCGTCGTCGCGTGCGCATGCCAAAATCTTTCGAAGGTTTCCAAACCGGGCGCCCCGGACGCAAATAAACACCAACCACCCCGTCGCAGGATTCCCCCTTAAAAAATGAGCTCGCGCACATGCGAAGTCATTTTTGTTCCAAATGATTTCACAACTTTCATCAAATTCTACCAAACGTGCTTTTCGCGCGCGCGCGTGTCGATGTCGTTCGAACGCCCTTGCGCGCGCGCTGTCGCAAAAAAACCCTTCCAACAAATGGGACGATGTGCGCGCGCGCGTCGTCGCGCAAGGATGCCGAAATCCTCCAATCAAGCTCGTCTTCGTCAAAATTTCACCAGGAAAATGCCCCGCATTCATAAACAAACACTTGGTCTTGCACCGCTAGTTTTCTAAAATAGTCTGCGCGCGCGCTCTTGCGAACATATACGAAAAACCATCGGCTCTCAAGATTGCAATTAAATTCGACCGAACGTGCCCCTCGAGAAGCATGTCGAAATCATTCGAACGCCCTTGCGCTCGTGGCGGGAGGAACACTTCCTGCCAAATATATCAATGTCAGACAGGCCATTTACGAGCGTCGGCCGCGCGCGCATGCTGAATTCCTTCCGGGACCTTCATCGCCGACGTGAGGCCATCATCACGTCATCGTCATCGGCGGAATCAGCATCGGCGCCGTCACCGGCCTTGCCGTCGTCGTCGTCATCAACGCCAAAGCATCGTTACTTGCATCATCGTGTGTGCCGTTGCCGACGTCGCCATGATACCGCGCCTGCCAAAACCACTGACTCGCACTGGAGTGCCCGCTGGGAAACGCCCAGCGGTCAGCGCCAACGCGGCCGCGTCGGCCGCGCAAAAAAAACTAGCTAGCCGCCGTGCGTGCGAGCGTGCGCGTGCTAGCGCAGCCGCGGAGATGCGCCAGCCAACGCCAAACACTCATCGCAATCGCCGCCGCATGGGTTTTGCAATGCAAGTTGCGGGGGGGTGGACGGGATCCAAGTATTTGCACATCAATTGCGCCACGCGAGTTGCACCATTTAGACTGTTCATCATATATACTGTACAAAACGGACTGAACACCCCATGCTGCTCGACATACTGCAGAATCTGTTCTGCACAACATAGATTGAACAACGTAGATTGCACCACTAAGTTTGCTCCACATCGGTTGCACAACGTAGATTGTGCCACGTAGCTTGCACTACGTAGATAGAACCACATAGATTGCACAACATCATATGTAGCTAGACACACAACGTTTGTGGCCCACGCTG